TATGTTTAGGTTATGTATGTTTTATTTCATTTATTTTTTTTTTTTGATTTGTTATTTTTTTTTTTTATGGTTGCAAACAAGTCTGTGTGCTCTTTTATTCATTAATTTGTGAGGGCTTCGTAGACAAATAAAGACAACAGCAAAAACAACAATAAAACTTATGATAATGTTTGCATATATTATAACATATATATACTACATATATATAATATATTATATTTTCATATATATTATATATAAGCTTGAATATTAAACAACTTGACGACGATTATAACAAAGGCAAAGTCATTGAGCTAGCCACCGATCAGAGTCATAATAATCAACAGGCCAGCTAAATGGCTGGCTAGCTAGCAAAAACAAACATGAATTCAATTCACAATATCTCCCCCGAACACCACCACCACGAACACCACTCGATTGACTCGTGCAGTATTTGTGTGAATATGGAATATGAATAATTAAAGTGGGGTTTTATTAGCAGCAACAACAACAACTCTGCCTTATCTGTTTGACTTTATCAAACGACCAACAAACCCACCGCACGATCGCCCTCTCTTTCTCTCTCTCGCGCTCTGCTTTACTGATTACTCGGCAGTTCTGGTTATATTTTTTGTTCATAGTCGTGTTTCGTCAGGCAGTGGGTTTTTGCAAATTTATTTTTTATTATTAATAAAAAATAATGTTGTTGTTGTTGCTGCTGTCATTTGTAAATAAATAGTTGGTGTCGTTGTCATCGCCCCATTGCGCTGCGGCTTGCTTGTCTGTCATGCCGTTGTGTGTTTGTTGATCTGTGCAGTTTTATTGTCTCTTGATATTTATAGAGGAACTTGCTCGATTGTGATTTTTTAAGCTTTGTGATGATAAAGCAGCCAGCTATAAATGACTATTTTGTCTGTGTTTTGGTTTCGTTGTTTTTATATTCAGCAACGTAATTCATTTTTTCTGTCTATCGTGTTTTTTTCTTTTAATTTTTTTTTTTGAAAAAAAGGAAGGTGTTTCAATAGTTGTCAAGACACGTTCGTAATAAAAAAATTAATAAATAAAAAATTTTAGAAATATTTATTGTCTAGAAATTTAGATTTTTTCTAAGAGACAAAAAATATTTAAGATAAATGCAATTCAGCTAGCTGAATATAGTTTAATAACCTTTAATATTATAAATTAATATTGATTTAATCATTAAATATAACAATTAATTAATTCAGTTAGCTGAATTGCTTAACAACTTTACATATTTAAAATTTAGACATTTAAATTTAGTTATTCATCAAGAAATTGAAATTCACCTAGCTGAATTGCTTAAAAAATATACTTATTTTAAATTTATATGTTTAAATTTATTTATTCATCAATAAATTACAATTCAGCTAGCTGAATATAGTTTAATAACCCTAAATATTATAAATTAATTTTGATTTAATTATTAAATATAAAAATTAATTAATTCAGCTGGCTGAATTGCTTATAAAAATACATATTTTAAATTTAGATATTTAACATATTTTAAATTTAGATATTTATTCATCAATAAATTTGCAATTCAGCTAGCTGAATATAGTTTAATAAATAATTCAGCTAAACGAAAAATGTTTATGATGATTTATTTTTTCTATTTTTCGAACAAATATACAGAATTTTAACAATTTGCTGCAATTCAGCTTGTTGAAATTAAATAACTCTTCATATATTTTTAGCTGAATTTGGCACTCCAGTAATTTTAGTATAATTCAGTAAGCTGAATAAGATAAATACATCATTTATGATAAAAATCTCTAATATTTAATATGTTTTCTTGCTATTCAGCTGGCTGAATAAGTTTTAAAAAGCTGTAAATGCAAGTAAAAATGATTTTTTATATATGATGCTATTCAGCTAGCTGAAAAGGGTTTTAAAGGCAATTTAGTAGGTTTATTGCAAATATAAACTAGCTGAATATGAATTATATGTGATTTATTATATAATTCATATTCAATTTTTATGTGATTTATTAATGTTGTTTTGGTGTTCAAGTGATTTCAGTGCAATTCAGCTTAGCTGAATTAGCTAAATACACAATATATTGTCATATTTTTTAAATAAAAATGTAATTAAATTATATTTGATGCTATTCAGCTAGCTGAAAAGGTTTTGTAAATCAATATAGTAGGTTTATAGCAAATAAAAACTACCTGAATATGAATATTAGGTGATTTTTTTAATATTATTTTGACGTCCATGTCATTTCAGTGCAAAACAGCTTAGCTGAATTAGAAAAATACACCATATATTGTAATAAATTTCAAATAAAAATGTAATTAAATTATATTTGATGCTATTCAGCTAGCTGAAAAGGGTTTAAAAAGGCAATTTTGTAGGTTTATAGCAAATAAAAACTAGCTGAATATGATTTTTGTGTGATTTATTAATGCTATTTTGGTGTCCAAGTCATTTCAGTGCAATTCAGCTTAGCTGAATTAGAAAAATATACCATCTTTGACAATAAATTTCAAATAAAAATTTAATAAAATTATATTTGATGCTATTCAGCTAGCTGAAAAGGGGTTTTAGTTAAGAATTTTTGGCATATAATTATAATAAAAACCCTTTTAATTTTTCCTTAGATCATATTTAGCTAATTTGTAAAAGCAATTCATGTGATTTTTTTACCATACAAAAATATTTACATTTGTCTATTTACTTGAGATCTACCATAATTGAGTGTAGGTGTTTCTATTTTTATTATTATTTATTATTTTACAAATTAAAGTAAATATGTATGTCTGTATATCCGTGTGTTGTATGTAGTTAACATATTGTTTATTTTCACATTTAATTATTAGCCAGCTACTCAGCCAACCAGTTTTTTTAATGCATTACTCGACAACAAACGACACGACAGTTACCTCCGCTGCTGACGTCAGTTGTTCAAATATGTACGACTTTTTTATTTTATGATTATTACTGTTTTTTCGCTGTTTTGTTCTATAGATACTGTCAAGCGTATGAATATTAACACATTTAACTTTGCCACAAAAAAAATGATAACATTCCGTATTAGCGAAAAAATTCTATATATTATCAACAGTTATTATTGCGAATTGAAATCCAAACCTCAAGTGTCTGGTTGGAAAACTGTTTTAGTGTGGTTGGTTGGTTGGGTGGCTGGTGTGTTTAGGTTGGGGGAGGAAGTTGAAATTGTTTATAACTTTTTGGTTTTATCACAGGCGATAAGAAATTTGCAGATAATACTTTTTTCGAGATCGAGCTTGCCATTTTTTTTTGCCAATCATAAAAAGTTGTCTTCGATAAGACTTCTCTTGAAGTAAAAATAGTTGACACATGAATGATGATAAAAATAAGGGAAATTCTTTTTAGAAAATACCTTAGCATTTGAACAACAACAAAAAATGCATTAGGTGCAGTTATATGTCTCTCCCTCTCCCACTCTCTGTTTATATTATATGAGGAAGACATCTCATATTTCCTTCGAGTCATAATATATGTGAGTCATGGATATGGACAAAGATGTCACACTCATTCTCACTGTTTAATATATTGACAATTTAGTGTGCGTGTGTGTGTGTGCTTCTCATTCATGCTAATTCTGTTTATAATAAAAATTATTTATTTATTATTTGTTTTTGCTTTTCTTTTGCTCTGTTTTGTTATCAAAAGTATAACAAAGTTTTTTTTTGTTCTCTTCTTCTTTTTCTCTACACACAATCATACACAGTAGTAGTTTTGTATGCACATAGTTAATGTCATAATAATGACTGACTCGCCAGACGTCCCGCGCCATCCTGACAAAATAATCAACACTGCTTTTGGAGCTTATCTTTAAATATTTTATTTCACTTTTTTTGCTTTCTGTTGTTTTTTATTGTTTTTTTTTTATTATTTCGTATGATATTTTGTTCCAGAAATTCCATTATAATTTTTATTTCGATTTGATTTGGATTTTTGTTGTTGCTGATTTTTAGATTTCGTCTGGTTTTGTTTAGACATATTAATGCAAATATTTTTTCGTTCAAAAAAAAAAAAAAAAAAAAAAATGAAACGATAAACCGATAACTTCGTAAAGTGTTTGCAAAAATTTGGATTGGATTCGTTTTTAATCAGATAGGGGGACAAAAAAATTGTTGGAATTCAGCTAGAAAAGTCATTATGTAGGTGTACATATAGAAGGAGAATTGTTATTCAGCTAGATCGATAGCGGGAAAATGGCATTCAGCTAGCTGAATTGACCAAAAATTGATATTCAGCTAGCTGAATTGCAGGAAAATCATTATGTAGGTGTACATATAGCAGGAGAATTTTTATTCAGCTTTATGGATAACAAAAAAATTGCATTCAGCTAGCTGAATGGACCCAAAATTGATATTCAGCTAGTTGAATATCAATTATGTATGTAGATATATAGCATTAGAATTGCCATTCAGCTCGTTGGATAGTAGGGAAATGGTATTCAGCTAACTTAATGGACGAAACATTTGTATTCAGCTAGTTAAGTAGCAGCCAAATCATTATGTAGATTGATATATAGCAGGAAATTTGTCATTAAGTTCGATAAATAATAGCAAAATTATATTCAGCTAGCTGAATGGTCCAAATATTGATATTCAGCTAGCTGAATTGCTGAAAAATAATTTTGTAGATGGATATATAGCAGGAAATTTGTTATTAAGTTTGAAAAATAATTGGAAAATGACATTCAGCTAGCTGAATTGGCCAACAATTTAAATTCTGCTATTTGAATTGCTGAAAAAATCATTATGTAGGTTTATATATAGCAGGAGATAGCGGGAAACAGTATTTAGCTAGCTGAATGGACTAGCTGAATTGACATTAAACTAGCTGAATAGTAGGAAAATCATTACGTAACAAAATATCTACTTTTAAAAACATCAAAATAATGCATTTTTTATTTATATATTTTTTTAATTATAAAAAAAATTCTGAAACATATTTTTTTATTTTTAACTAAATACTAATTTTCCCCCCATTTTGTTTATTGATTTCAGATGATCCTGGCGGTACAAAAAATCAAACGGAAACAACAACAACGGTAACGAATCATAGCAATATGGAAGCTACAACAGCAACAACACCAGCCGCAACAACAACAACAAAATATTATAACAGTAAAACAAAGCTACAACAACAGCAACAGAATAACAACAACAACAATAATCAGTTACCACAAAATAAAAGTACAACAGCAACAACAACAAACAGCAGTAAGAAATCCCAACAACAACAGCAACAAACATATCGTGATTTAGATGATAGCCAAGAACCACAAAAGAAACTAACCGCTAAGCAAGCTAAACAAGCTGCCAAATTAGCAGCTCAGCAACAGCAACAGAATGTTAAAACAGCTGCTGCTGCAGCTGATAGTCGACAGCAACAACAACAACAAAATAACAAAAATGTTTCCAAAACGACGGTAAATTCCGCCGACAAAAATGTAAATAATTCTAATTCAATACCTGCCAATACCACCAATAAAAACACCACAGCAACAACAACAACAACACTTGCAACCACCGCCAATAATGCCAATAAAACACTAAGTACCACAACAACAACAAATAGTGGCGACCACACCAACAACAACACAATGGATTATGTGAATAGCATTAGTAATAGTTCAAATTTCAATAAAAGTGATAGTAATAGTAATAAGGAACAACACCAACAACAACAATCATCCGCCACAACAGTAGCAGCAGCAGTCCCAGCCGCAACAACACAGAACAGCGTTAGTGATAATACAAGTGGTCCTGCCCAGTCGTCAGGATCCGACATTAACTGGAGCAACTCCAAATATTTACACAAGAAATTTAAACGTCTGGCAAGTACCACGGAAACTGAGGGAGGAGGATCCGCCATTGGAACTGGAGGAGGATCGGGCCAAGAATCTGAAAAGCTGAGAACCACATCAATATCATCGGCCAGTTCTTCGGTCTCATCACCACCACCACCAGCTGTTGTAGCACAACAGCGACCAGAAAATGAAACAACAACGAAACCTGCCACCCAAGAAACAAGACCCTCCCAGCATCCACCGCCAACACCACACCATTTACAAAATGGTTATGTGAGCAAACAGGAAGTGGTGGATGCTGCCGCACTACAAAATCAGATTTTGTTGCAAATGGCCCAACAACAGTCACAACAACAACAGCAAGTGGTGATACTTTCCTCCAGCCATCAAACAGAAGTAACAGCCAGTACGGCAGCTCCTCCCGCCGCAACCTCAAATTCAGCAGCTACCACAACAAATGCCAATACCAGTGGTAATGGTGGTAGCGGAGGCGGTCGCCACATTTGCCCCTATTGCAATTTAAGCTGTACAAAACCCTCGGTGTTGAAAAAACACATTCGCGCCCACACCAATGAGCGTCCATTTCCCTGTGAATTTTGTGGCATTGCCTTTAAGACCAAAAGTAATCTTTACAAACATTGGAGGTAAGTTGAGAGAAGACCCTTTCTTCACCACCCCTTCATTTCTTTAATTTATTTTTTTTTATTTTTCCATCTTAAGATCTCGTTCCCACATGGCTCGACGAAAAGGCCTTGAAGTGCCACCCGATGCTGATGATGGTTTGTCGGATCAGGATGTGGATCCAGAGTTGAGTAACAGTAGTTCAGAAATGGTAAGTAACCATAACTTTATATTAATTTAAGCTCGAATTACGAAATAAATTTTTCTCTCTCTCTTCTAGTTAAGTCGCACAGATTCCCCCATGGAAGAGGTTGTGGCATCGCAAAGTGTCATTTCCCAGCCACAACAACAGCAGCAACAAATTAATGAGCCTCACACTCTCATACCCACACCCATGAATTCAAATTCTTCAATGGGTGCTGCCGCAGCCTCCTCACCATTGCCACCAGCATCACCTGCCTCTCGTTTAGTTCAGCCCCAGCCAACCAATGCCACCATGCAACAAGCAAGTCCCACAACCCAACAGCAGCAACAACACCATCAAAGTCAATTGCCTTTGGGTTCACCGGCTGCTGGGACATTGGCGCCCAACGTGGCTGCCACAATAAACCAAAATAACGTTGGCAGCTCATCGAGTAACAACAGTTCCGCTGCCAAACAAGCCATCGATTATAAGCCATATAAACCAAAATTTCATAATGCAGCCTTGTACAATTCGCCAAAAGAGGCTGCTGCTGCAGCAGCGGCTGCCGCTGCGGCCGCCACAAACAACTCCTCCTCCCCAATGGAAACTAATTTAGCCGGTGCCTCAATTAATAGGGTGGATATTGTTACAGCCCAACCATCTCCGCAAAGTAAACAAACGGTGGAGTCAGTGACAATCCCTGCACAACAACATCATCAACAACAGCAACAACAACTTTTAATTGAAGCCCAAAAATATGCAACATCCCACAATAATTCCCAACTTGGCCATTCACCTTCAGCGTCACTTAGGATAGGAGAAGGAGGAGCACCAGCCACTGGTGGAGGACATGTATCTAGCGGCCAACCCCCCTCCTCCTCCTCAGCTCCCCTCCAGCTCCATCATCATCCCAGCCTGTCGCCAAGTACCCAGATCAAATTGAACAATCACCTCAGCAGTCATCAGTTACAACAGCAGTTGCAGCAACAACAACAGCAGCTACATCAGCTGGCTCAGGCCCAGGCCGCAGCCGCTGCTGCCGCCCAACATCCTCACACACATTTATTGGTTCCACCCGGACCAGGAAATGCCCCGCCGCCGCTACCATTACCTTTGGCAGCTTACTATTTGCCACACGGAGCCTTTTACAATCCCATGGCGGCTGCTGCAGTGGCCCATCAACAGGCCTATGCCTCATTGCATTTAATGACGCCCCAGCAGCAGCAACAGTTCCATCATCAGTTGCAATTGCAACAACAACATTTGCAGCAACTTCAACATTCCGGTGTAATAGCACCAAACGCAGCGGCGGCTGTTGTGGCGGCAGCATCAGTACCACCACAGCAGCAGGTTCCTCCTCCATCCCCAGCTCAACCCTCACCACTGGCTGGCGTGGCTCCAGCTCCGCCACAACAACAAACGTCGGCATCGTCACCCTCTCCAGTGCAGCAAAATCACATTAAAACTCCCACGCCCGTCATGGGTAATACGGGAGTTTTGAGGCCCACACCCACCAGTGCAGGTAGTGCATTACATCTCGCCAAGGCCACACCCGGTGTTGTCGCCGCGGGGCCACAACAAAGTCCTCTGCATTATCTGGCCAATGCAGCCCTGAACGGTCAGCCTGTCGCAATGGCCAGTAATAAGCTAAATACGGATATGCCAGAACAACCACCACCATCACATCAAATGGGAAATAGTAGTGGAGCCACCTCCTCGTCCTCCTCATCCCAACAACGTTCTTCCTCCTCAACTAATCATTTGCAGAATTCAAATAATCCTGGAGAAATACCTTTGGTAAGTTTTTCGCGCATTCGCATTTTTAAAGAAATTATTTTTTTTAACGTTTGTATTCTCTCCCAGAACAAGGAAAACCTCCATGAACGCATTAACAAAATCATCTCCCAAAATGAGGCTATTGTTGAGAACAAAGAACTTCTATTGCAAAAGAAATATCCCAAAACCTTAAACCGTTCTCGAAGTTTTACAAATGCCAATAACTCGGCGGCATCCAATTCGGGTTCATCGTCGTCGGGCAGTATCCAAACCACACTGCAAAGTACAACGGGAGCGCCACCAAGTGAATCGGCCACAAATGCCAAATTGGCACAGGTTATAGTACAAAAACAACAGCAATTGCAACAACAACAACAGCAATTGCAACAGCAACAACAAGCCCAGCAACAATATATTTATCAACAGCAATTGCAACAGCAGCAGCAACAACAACAACAATTGCAAAAACAACGCCACATTTATTCGGATAAAATCACCATGGAAGAGGTGGTTTTGCCTCTTAATGGCACCTCTAAAAATTTAATTTCCAAACACCTGCCAGCACAACAAACCATCAATCAAGGCGGTCATCATCCCGCTGGACAGATGCATCAATATCGTCCTGCAAATTCCCAACCTAATCAGCAACAACAAATACCTGCATCTGCAACAAGTAATGCACCCCCACCACCACCACCAAATGTTCCCCTAAATCTATCAGCCAAATCCAAGGCTCCCATTGCACTGGAGGAACGTTTGGATTTATCTACAACCTCCTCCAAACAGCCACAGGGACCATTGCCACAACAACCACCACCGGCCACCCCGCGCAAACGCCACTCCATTGAACAGCCGAGTCAGGTTACAGCCATCATCAATTCGGCCGCCTTCAATGAAGCTTCGAATTCCTCCAACTCCAATTCACAAGCTGGCCAACAGCTTAATAATGCCGCAACCACCTCCACAGCATCTTCATCTGCCGCTGCTACTGCTGCTGGAGGTAAATATCCTCCACCCAATCATTCCATTATTAAAAACCTGCTGCTAAATGCTCGTGGCCTGGCCGTACCCATGGGTGAGGGTGAGGATGCCGTTTACATTTGTCCCCTCTGCTCCATGGAATTCCGCACCGCCGAAGATTTACAACTGCACAACAGCACCTATTGCCAGGGCAACAACAGCAGTGCCAATTCACCTGCCTCCTCGCCATCCCACAAATATTTTCGCAGCAGTTCAATACAATCGCTGAATATGAGTGACCTGAAAATACTCTCGAAAAATCCACTGTCCTTGGCGAAGTTGGCATGGTCACAACTGAAGACAAAGCCTAGTAATTTGGTGCTAAATCGTTTGAGTGCATCGCAGGCGAACACATCGAAAAGTAACAGTACCACAACGACATCGGCCACATCTACCCAGCCTAGCTGTTCGACCACAACGCTATTGGCAAGTGGAACCACGGGAGCTGCTGCAAACAGCAACAGTGGTACAGGTCCTTCCAAATCACATTTGGCTCTCAACGATATACCAATGCGATTTGTGGATGCCCCGTTGCCCTCACCAGGCCCCTTACTGGGCAAAACACCCCTGGTGGACTATACACCCAATCATGATACGAAACATAAATCCGAAGAGGTCATAATAACCAAAATGCACGATGATCGCTGGAATAATAGCACGAATTTTAATGACCAACAACATCATCCTGCAGCATTAAACGCCAACGCCAACAATAAACGTTTGAAATTTGAAACATCAAACCTATCCTCCGCTACCTCCTCCTCATCATCTTCGGTGACCAACAAACGTCTAACCAACATTACCAGTGGCGGGGACATGCAACCCTTAAACCCTTTGGAACTATCGAAGAAGGAGGAACGTTTAAAACGTTTCACCTCCTCGGGTGGCTGCATGATTCCCCTCTCGGAATGTGATGATGTTGATAAAAGTCCAAAAATGATCAGGACTCCCCTGCTGTCGGGTGGTAGCTTTCAAGAGGTATCACCCAAAAAGGAAACAAAATTACCCATGCCTCTAATACAAGGGGCTCAGCTAACACCCAAATTAGCTTTGGGTTTAGGGGCCACCTCATCCTCATCGGGGCCACAACATTTTCAATTTCCACCCATAAATCAAATAACAGCCTTTAACCCGCTGACTTTGCCGCTTACCGAAAAGGTTATACCCTATGTACCGGGTATACCGGGGCCGAATAGTCTCACGCCACAAATGCATTTGCCACCGCAGCAACAACAACTACACCTGCAAGTTCCTCCACAGCAAAAGTCAAGGACTGTTAGCCCCAATCGCAAGACGCAGGCAGCATTGAGTCCCAACATGCCAGCCAATGATGGTGGATCGAACAGCAACACCAAACCCCTGACCACATTTGGTGGGGTACAAAATGTACCCAGCGAATTTGCCAAGGCTCCGCCCAGCACCAATATGCGGAATGTTAAAAACTGGAACACCAACAACAAATTGAATTTACCAGGCACGGCTGCGGGGGGTGCTCCTGGTGCAAGTGGGGATGTCAAAGCCCCCTTTAAATCCTTTAACTTTTTGCGCATGGCTGACAACTTGAGTCCGCGTAAAGTTTTGGGTGAAACCGAAACCCGGCACTTCAATTTGGAACGCGTGGCCAAGGATCAATTGATAATTCAACAACCCACCTCCTCAGCTTCGGGTAGTGGCAAGACATTGTCACCCACAGGATCATCGGCAACTGGTACAACAACTCTTACACCCCTGCATGTGGATACCACATCAGGGCTGCAGGTTGAAGCGAATGACTCATCCGCCGCTCTAATGGAAACTAAACCCAAATCGAAATTCCTACGGCCAACCAGTCTGCCCCTTAGGCCCGGGACATTTACACCCAAACGTCATCATGGTATAACACCCACTGCCAATACCCTGCCTTTGATTTCACCCGAAACACCCAGACCCTCAAAGGAATGTGTACAGCTATATTTGAATGGAAATTCGTATACCTATTTGGGTTTGAAATCGAGCACCAAGACATTCTATTGTACCCTAAATTGTCCTCAACCATCCTATGTACAGGATATGCATAAGCTCTCCATGTACTCCATGTGGCAACAGTGTGCCGAAAATAATCCACATCCTTTGGGTTTGAAACCCAAGGAGGTTATGTCGCTATACGATTCCCGACAAAAGGTACAAATTTACAATATGGCTGAGAGTAAAAAGCTGGCCTATACGGTTGTGGCGGCCCAGCAGATTGTAACCACACCCTTCCTCAGTAGTCAGGATAAATTCTATCACCATCAGTTGAAGCGGTTAGATGCAGAGGAAGATTCCACGGCGCCTAATAAAGATGATAACAAATCAACAACGGCTGTGGCTGCTGAGCCAAAGGATACCAGTCAAATGTCCAACCACTCGGCAACCTCGACCTCATCCTCCTCTTCCCAAACATTGGTGGGAGGTTATGAGTCCAATGAAAACTACACCTATATACGTGGTAGAGGCCGTGGTAAATATGTCTGCTTGGAGTGTGGTATACGTTGCAAGAAACCCTCTATGCTGAAGAAACACATTCGGACCCACACCGATGTCCGCCCGTACACATGTAAACATTGTAATTTCAGTTTCAAAACCAAGGGCAATTTGACCAAACACATGCAGTCCAAGACGCACTATAAGAAATGTATAGAATTGGGTCTGAATCCAGGTCCAATGCCCGCGGATGGTGAATTCTTGGAGCCCGACATGGAATTTGATCAACAATCATCGACATCGGCTGGTGGTAGAACTTCGTCAATGGGTAATGCTGAATCGGATTCGGATGGTGATTCAAGTGATAATGAAACGGAGAGTAGTAATGAATCGGATTCAGCGGCTGTGACGAAGTCGAGTACGGCCCCCACCACTTCGGCGATCCCAGCTCCACCCAGTATAACAGTGAATTCGGCTGGAGAGGATAATAAATCACATTTGGAACATGAGGCGGCCAGATGTTTACTTTCCCTCAGTATGACACCGCCCATACATACCCAAAGTTCGGAGGCAGCTAGTCAAATGGTGGTCAGCAGCACCACCACCAATGTCATGGCCACCCCTTCCGCCACCAATACAAGTAGTACAATTACCACCACCTCCTCCACACCACCATCTGCCATACGACGAGTCATCTCGTATACCTCACCCAAGCCCCCATTCGATTATCACAAGCAGGAACAATATTATTCCAATCCGGAAGAGGCTATGCCCAAGAATAAGACCATAAATAGTTTTGAAGCGGCTCCCATGGATTTGACAAAGCCACGTAGTAGCTCAGATACAAGTGTGACAACCGTAAATTCCCTGCCCGCCACTGTATTGGTTCATGCTTCCCTGGCACATGGCAGCAAACCATCAGGATCAGTACCTCCAGCTTTATATTCAATGCCTGGTCCCGTACAAACCCAGGCTCAAATCGATGATGTCATATTTGGTGGTAACCGTGATGAGTCCGGTTTGCTGAAAACAATGATCTCAGTTTCCTCCAAAGTGGCTCGTAGTCAACCTGGCCTCTCCGAAGAAGTAAGGAATCTCAATGAAGATATGATGCTGTACGACTATAGGCGGGAACAAACATTGCAGTACAATAAAATTAAGCAAACGCAGTTGAGTCGGGGTCTAACAGCTGCCAGTTCGGGCAGTGAGGTTGTGGTGACAATGACACCTGCAATCACGACAGCGGCGGTCTATGTCAATGCAATGGCATCAATGACCACCTCCACCACCACAATGGTTACACAAGTATGCAGTTCGATAAGTTCTGTATCCACCTCGGTGGTGAGTAGTCGAGATTCTGCAATTGTGTCCAGCAGTTCTGCTGCATCAACAGTTACCGCCCCTGCCACTGCCCCCGTCCCAGCCCCTGTTGCCTTGGTGGCCGAAAGCAAACCAGATGTACCTTTACAAGTGCCAAAAATTGAAATAGTCGAACCTTTGGAAACTCCACAGAGAACAAAATCCAATGAAAGTAACCCACCCGCCCAATTGCTACCAGCCCCAGATTTGAGAAAGCCACCATCCGCCGCCAAAACTTCTTCTGATGAAAGTGAAGAAACCGATGAGGAGCCACCCGCCAAAAGACATTTATCATCGATGAGTGGTGATGAAAAAGTGGTGGTGGCGGCCGCAGGTCATAATTCCAATTTACCTGCAGCTGTTTTGCAACCTGGAACCACAGATTTTTCTGGTGTCCTATCCGGAGGATCAAACAGTAATAGTAGTGGTGGAGGTGGTGGTGCTTCACAACCCACACGTACGGTTATTGTGGGCGAAGATGGTTTCACCACAAATAATAATGAAATCTTACCCGTCCACCCTCGAGTACCACCTCTCACAAATGCCGATGGCAGACCCGTCTGTTCGATATGTTCGAAAACTTTCCAAAAACAATCCCAACTGGCTCTACACATGAATATCCATTATATGGAAAGGAAATATAAATGTGATCCATGTGGGGTGTCGTTCCGCACCCAAGGCCACCTGCAAAAACATGAACGTTCAGAGGCCCATAAAAATAAGGTTATTATGACATCAACATTTGGTGTCCCCACCACATCAAATCCCCGCCCATTTGAGTGTACCGACTGCAAGATAGCCTTTCGTATCCACGGCCATTTGGCCAAACATTTACGTTCCAAGACCCATGTCCAAAAATTGGAATGCCTTCAGAAGCTGCCATTTGGTACATATGCTGAAATTGAACGAGCCGGTATTAGTCTAACGGAAATTGATACCAGCGATTGTGAGAATAGTTTGATCTCTTTGCGGCTGCTGGCCCAAAAGCTCATTGAAAAAGATCCCAGCTCGAAGTTGGGTAGTTATACCACACCGTCGGGAGTGCTGCAGGACAATAATTCGAATACGGGATTGGTATCACAGGATAGTGCATCGGAAGATGGTTTCCAGGCTGCTGCCAGTGCTGCAGCCTCGGCCATTGCTTCATTGGACAACGATAGTGCGGCAAATACCCCAAGGAGGGCAAATTCCACCTCTGAAGATGAATCCATTGCCATGGCATTGAATAACAATTTGAAGCGACGTTTGCCGGGAGCCTTTAGCAGCAGTAATGGTGAGGACAGCGATAAGGATATACAGGAAGAGAAACGTATGAGATCAGATCTACTGGTGGTAGGAAATCATCAAATGCAGTCGGCGGCGGCCGCAAGTCCACCAGCAGCAAACTGACATTATATTTTTGCCTATCCCGAAAGATGAATAATGGAGTCAAGCACCACGTCATCAGCGTTATGACAAACGGCGAAAACATTTCCAGGGCCCAATACCGATAGCAGGCCTACAAGAACTATTATGAATTACAACAATTTACAATATCCTCAACATAATATTAGTAGGAGTTATAAAAATCTAATGCCACCATCATCCTTATTGTATACCACAAATACCAGTTACCACCCACAGTCTTATCAGCATACTCAGAAGCAGCATCATTGTCATTTCAATTTAAATCCAGCCCCACCGTCACCATCATCCGCCACACTGAACCGCTAAAACTTGTTGAATATTGTAATTTTCGGTTTTAATTTAATTTCATTTTTTCAATAAATATCCCCTACTCAAACTCAGGACCAAAAAAGCCCTAAAATATAAATAAAACGACGAAACCAAATTCTACCAACCCTCATCATATCCCCTTATATACTTACACATACATATCGTATTTTGGAACAAACAAAAACAAGATTTTTCCTTAAAAAAAACTAAAACTAAAATCAAGGCTTAAAGCCAACCTCCATTTTCAAAACCCAAATTTAACAAGTTTTAGACGGCATGAAATGGGTTAATAGATACATCTCCCGACCCCACCCACAATCTATTTCAAAATAACACTTTTTTGAAATTATCGAAAAAACAAAATCCCAAGTTAAACAGCAACAAAATATCAAAACATTTACAAAAAACAATTTTTACAAATCCCCACTCCTCTCAGAAGAACTACAATATATAAAATATAATAAAAAACTATATCATTTTTTATTGCAAAAAAAAAAAAAAAATAAGTAAACTATAAATATTATATTTCAATATTCTTACTGTAGCGTACTTTAAAAGGAAGAGAAAAAACAAGAAATTAAAAAAAAAATAAACTGTGGTACTAATTTTTGTAGCAAAAAAATTTAGTCATAATTGAAAATAAAAATAAGGCATTTTTTTATTACAACATTTTTCGTTTAATGTAAAAAATCTTGAGGAAAAATTTAAAATTCAAATTTTCTTTTATTTTTTTAAAAAAATATTTTTTGTGATTAAAAAAATATCAAGTTCTTCCTATGTTTTATAAAAATTTTTTTTCATTATTTTATTGTTTGTAAAAATTTAATTTTTGTTTTTTTTTAATTTTTTTTTTTAATTTTACAAAAATACAAAAACTATTTCTTTTTTGAACCCAATAATAGCAACGAGACCACGAGACTCATAATACAAATTATTATTTTGGATTATCCACAACAACAACAACTACACAGGGCTACAAAACAAAATGAGGGTTTAGCCTCATTATTTTGCAAAAACAAAATTAAAAAATTATAGAATTTTTTTTTTTTTTTTGAAATTAAAAAAATATATATGGTATGTTTCCCGTCCAGCAAGAGTCGACTAATTTGTTTTATTTTCTTTGATATCATAAAAGAAAAATTGTTATCGTAGTAAAAAATTGTACATTCTTGAAGGTTCTGGAACAGACCAATAAATTAAAAAATATATTTTTTTTAATAAAAAAAAAACATTTTTATATTGCAATTTTGTTTCAATATATGTAAATATATATATTTTTTTGTAGCACTGTGTAATTTTTTATTTTTTTCTTAATTAAATTTGTTTTGCAAACAATTGTTTTTTTATATACTACATTAAGAAATTTTTTAGTTGCAATTGTATAGTAGATTTGTTTTATTTTTTTAAATATTAGTTATAAATGTTGTGTACAAACAAGAAATATTATTAAATTATCCTATAAACAAAAAAAAATCAGATTTAATAATCGATAGATTTACATTTTAAATTTTTATTATATGATTAAAAAGAAAAAACAAACTTTGTATATGTAAAAAAACAAATATTTTATTTATAAGTAAAATAATATATAAAATATATATATATATAGAAACAAAATTATAGAAACTATAGTTATATAAGTTTAAAACTTGAAAAAAAAACATAAAAACAAATTATATATACTATATATTATACACACCCAAATATTTCATATACAAATTTGAATTATCAAACAAAAAAAAAAAAATAATTATTTCATAATTATAGATAAACAAACAAATATGTTATATTTATGTATATAAAACAACTTAATCGATAAGAAAACAAAATATCTCTTAATGTATCATTAAACATATATATATATATTTTAAAAGAATATATACATACTAGATCTTATTTTTAAAAAAGTATAGATAACATTTGTATAAAAAAATTACATTATATGTAATTGTCTGTGTATTGTGAACAATTATTATTAATATATATAAATATTAGAATGGATATATTTAAACAAAATACAACAACAAAAAAAGAAACAAAATGTTTGAAATGAACAAACAAAAAATAAAATTACATTTTTTTGAAAAATAAAAAAAATATTTTTGTGTTTAATTTTTTTTTTTTTTAAATACTTCCATGGATTGTTTGGTGCATATTGGATTCAGGGTGGAGTTCTTGGGGTTGCCTTTAAAATCTTGTTTGAAAATATAGATATTCCTAGAAAAAAAATAATAACAGAGATGGCAATTAAATATTTAAAGAAGCATAAATGATAATAATTCAATAAAATACAAAATAGAAATAGGTCTTTATATTAAAGAAAGCCAGGCCTTTCTTTCAATGATTTTCCCTATGATCCTTATTAGAAAAAAAAAATTAAAACACTACTCCCGCCATCAACTTACCAACAAAAATGCTGCACCCAATATCAAAGCACGCTCCTTTCCCGACAATTTCGGATCACTGAAATAGATATTTGTTGTATACTGCGATTTACCGCTCATCCATTTACGATCTATGGAGGCACGCAACTCCCCACCCGAATGTACTTTAAAATATGTCTCCTTGGGTAAACAAAAACAACAAAATCCTGAATTTTTGGGACCTTCAATACAAAAGATGGGATTTCCTGTCGCCCCATCTTCAATATAGAATTCAGGTGCGAATATTGTTGGAGATTGTACAATGCGACCAAGTATATTGCCCGGTGGTATCCAAACCTCCAAACTTTTCGGTTGACAACACATAAAGCCCAACGCCAATTTTCTTTGAAACAGCAGAGCTTCTTGATGGGTTTTATCGATTAGGTGCATATGAAAGGGTCGCGCCGAACCCAATATTAAACGATTTCTTTGGGTGGAATATTCAGAGGCGGCATATAATGCCTCGCCCACAACGGAGCGTACAACATAACGATTTTCCGATGAGACACCGGTGAGAGCTGGGGGAGGATTAAGGAAAAGGGAAATATGGTTAGAATATAATGGAAGTGTATTTTTTTGGGATTTTAAACTTACACTCATTTAATTCAAATGTTTGTTCAATATATATTGAGGGTATATCCTTGAGAAAATCATAACCCGACAATGGTATATAGGTACTTTGGACACCTCTGGCATTTTGTTCCACTGTCGATATGGGTAGTGGTATTCGATTAGAAACTAGTAAGAAAAAAATGAAACAATTAAGTTTAAATAGAGGTGGTGGAGTTTTGAAAAGAAAATAACTTACCTCTTGGTTGTGAGGTTATACTCACAGGACCATCGAAAACTGAAAATATATAAAGAAATCATTATACTGGTCATCGCAGATAAAAGGTTTTGTCTTTTACTCCAAAATTTATAGAAATTTGAAATAGATGTTCTCTAATTGATTTGAAAATGAATTGAAATCGTAGATTTATCAGCTGTTTACAAAGATCTAAAAAATCAGCTTATTTTCAACAATCAGCTGATTCATGACTAGTTGTGAACAATCTATACTAATAAAAGAGTAAAGTGATTGACTGACTGATTTAACGATTCATCAACGCCCAGACGAAACGGCTGAAGCTAGAATCTTGACATTTTAGGTGAGGGTCACTCTTGGTCCAAAGGTGTCAGATAGGGCTGGGTTCTTGGAAATTCGCACTAATCATTTGTATTTGAGAATAGGTAGAACAAGAACCCTGTAGGGTCACTGATGGAGTGTAGAATAGATGTAGCAAAGGGTTTTTGGACATTCGAACTTTAAGTACCCGTAAAGTACTAAATGTGATACAATTTCGTAGCATGTGAATGGATTGAGCTAAAAACTTGAAATTTGGAATGCGAATTAAGGCTGAGAGGTAGGGTCGATATAAGGAGCTGGCTTTGTACATATTTGCGCGAAAAGTACTATATGGTACTGTGTTCGGTACAAATTTAGTTTGGGGGTACAAATCGAGGTGGAATCCTGAAAATTGAAATTAACATTACTGTCGGAGTGTAGGATTGGGTTATGTGCGTAGTTTTTGTACGAAATATAGTACGAAAAGTACTATAATCGGTACAATATGGATTTGGGCGAACCGATAGAGCTGGAACAATGTAATTTGGATTTAGGATCTTTGTTGGGATGTAGTATTGAGCTAAGTAGAACAATTTGGAAATTCGTATTAATGTGTACTAAATGGTAACAAATTCGGATTTGGGTGAAACAACAGAGCTGGAATCTTGAAATTTGATGTTAGAATCACTGTAGGGTTGTAGGATTGGGCTTTGTAGAAAGTTTTGGAAATTCTTACTAATTTGTACTAAATTTGGTACAAATAAAAATTTTGTTGAACCAATACAGCTAGAATCCTGAAATTTGGAGTTAGAATATTTGTTTGGATGTAAGATTGAGCTATGTAGAAAGTTGTTTCCACATTGGCTAACGAAGAAGCGAATATATGCTAGTATTTAAATATTCGAAGACATTAAGATGGCCTATAAAATAATAGTCAACGATGTTAACAGGTATCTTCTGGTGAAGATAATGAAGAAGATACACCTAGTTTAATTACTTTTCCATTTTCCAACATGCCTCTTATGACCTCTTTGAAGAAGTTACTCTGTATAGACGTTGACTTGGCTGGATGGACTGATATTTGACTTGATTGCTTGTAGAGACCCCTAACCGAAGACAAAGAGGAAGACAAAACAATCTTGACGTGTTGACGACCAGAATTAAAAAAAATTAAAAGTTTTTCTTATATTGGAGGGTGTAAAATGTTCAGATCGATCGAAATTAGCATAATTTTTGCTACCGATTTTATTTTTTTTTTAACAATATTTTTTTTTTTAAATAAATTTTTCTATATATTTCTCATACTCTTTATTAATTCCTCCTTTAACACAAATCCAAATAAATAAATAAAAAAAACTATACGATAAGATATGGCCACCATTCATTATGGTGGTCTCAATACAATTCCTTTGTTTCCAAAGCATTATCTATAAAAAAGGTGGTGAGAAATTTCACAACATTAAAACTTTTACTACGATAATGACCTCTTGGCTCGGCACGATTCAGTTGGGCCACACGAATTTCACTATCATATTGTAAATTGCGAACAGCATCCTCTTGTAGCATTGTAAGAAATATATAATAATTCTTCGATTTTTTTAAATTGTTTTCCAATTTTATATCACTTTTTGTTATACTATATTGAAATCTACTTCTTTCTTTAACGCTTTTCAAAATAAAACTGACATTTTTTTTTTATTAACGTTATTGATAATAGTGGTTTGGAGAGCGAAATACCCTCTCTCCCAATTACCTCGTTTTTGGCCATAATGTGATATATTGTTTGTTTTGATACTGATAAGGTGCAACGCCGTATCGCAAGCTATTGATTAGACAATATGTCGTTCACATACATATATATGGTTAAATGTGATATATGTTCAATATTCACCCCCTCGCGAGCAGGGGGTTTTGGTCTTCTCCTGCGGAAAAATAGGCATAAACATTAACTTTATTATTATAATAAAACGGTTCTCGTTTTTCTGATTACATATATAAATTGTACATTTATAATAGCGGCGGATAGTGTCATTGGATGTCGGGTAGGTAATATATTGTGAATCACTCACTAAGGGAACTTGTAAAGTTTTAAACACTTTGGTTGATAACAAAATACTCAAATTCGTTGGTAACAAATTTTATCCACCTGATTTATTTTTAATAGCTTTGAAGTAGTGTTTGATCATTCTAGTCCCTTATTTTTATAAATCTCACACTTTGGTTGCATCCATGAAAAAATATTTTTTAAAAAACCCCACGCCTTAGGTTTTTAATTTTTTTATGAAAAAATTGTTCGAACCCCTCATATTCCTTATTTATAGAAAATAACTCATTCGGAAGGTTCCCATTTTTTCTATAGGAAAAAAATAATTGGGAACAACAGGTTCCAATTTTTGTTCTATAAAAATCGTTTGGAGTCTCAGTTGCCTTTTTTTTATAATAAAATCGTTGATCAAACAAATTTGGTATGTTCCCGTACAGCAAGAATCTACTCAATTTTACTATTTTCTTCGATATCACAAAGGAAAATTCGTTATCGTAGTAAAAAGTAGTAGATTCTTGCAGTACGGGAACAGACCAATTGTTGGGAACATTAGTTTCCTATTTTTTACCGAAAAAAATCCGTTTGGTTAATCCAATGAGTTTAAAATGTCAATTCCCTTGAATATATGCCAAATAAATCCGGTAAAAAGTTCTAATGTAAATGTCATATAAATTGTACCAAATTTAGTACCATTTAAAATACATTAGTATGAATTTTCAAAACTTCCTATATACCCCAATTCTACACCCCAATAATGATTCTAACTCCAAATTTCAGGACTCTAGCTCTATCAGTTCACTCAAAATTTAAATTGTACCAAATTTAGTGCACATTAGTACAAATTTCTAAAATTTACTACATATCCCAATCCTACACCCCAAACGGTGATCCAATTGTCAAAATGCCAGTTCTATCGGTTAACCCAAATCCAAATTTGGTACCATTTAGTACACATTAGTACGAATTTCCAAATTTTTCTACGTAGCTCAATATTACATCATAACAAAGATCCTAACTCCAAATTTCAGGATCACAGCTCTATCAGTTTATCCAAAATTCAAATTGTATCAAATTTAGTACAATTTAGTACTCATAAGTATTAATCTCTAAAACTACATCCATACCCCAATCTTACACGTCAACTGTAACCTTATATCCAAATTTCAGTGTTCCAGCTTTATCGGTTTACCCAAATCCAAATTTAGCACCATTCCAAATTTCCAAAACTTTCTACAAAGCCCAATCCTACACCCTAATAGTGATCCGAACGTCAAATTTCAAAACTCCAGTTCAATCGGTTCACCCAAATTTGGTACCATTTACTACAAATTTCCAAAACTTCATAAATCGGTTCATCCAAAATTTAAATTGTACAAAATTTACTTCACATTAGTAAGACTTTCCAAAACTTCCTAAATAGTTCAATTCTACCCCAACAATGACCATAACTCCAGCTCTATCGGTTCACCCAAAAAAATTGGTACAAAATAGTACACATTAGTTCGTATTTTCAAAATTCCCTATATACCATAATCCTACACCCCAACGATGATCCTAACTCCAAACGATTTAGAACTATTCGTACACACAAGTACAAATATTCCAAAACAAACCCGAGCTTATAAAAACTAATATTCATTATAAAATACTAAAATTTAAATGTTTAATTATTCTAATTCCGGCTCCATCTCCCCAGCCATAAAATACAAACAATTAAAAATTGTATCAAATATAGTAAACCATATAGTACTAAAAAGAAGAATAATAAATTTCAAAACCACAAATCATTGCTGTAAACCAAAATATAGATGAAGTTTTCTTTTAAACATATTATTAGAATGAGAGAATATTCTTAGATCATATGACAATAAATTCCAATTAGTACATTTTAGTACTTTTCGCTTATTTATAGTTCGAATGTCCAAAAGACCCTTTGCTATATCTATTCTACATTGCATCAGTGACCTTCATTTAAAATTTAAGAGTTCTAGCTCTACCGCTTCGCCAAATAAAAATGATACCATATTTACCTTTATTTAGCACCTTTCGTTACGTTCTAGTACGAATTTCCAAAAACCCAGCCATATCTGTCTTTGAACCAAGAGTAACCCTCACCCGAAAATTTCAAGATTCTAGCTTCAGCCGTTTATAAATTTGAAAAGTTTTGTAATTTTTTACTCATTTTTTTCCTCGATATCGTAAAGGAAAATTCGTTATCGTAGTAAAAACTAGTAGATTCTTGTAGTACGGGAACAGACCAACTATGAAAACCCAAATTGATACAATTTTCTTATATTTTTCAAAATATCCGTAATTTTTTAATTTTAAAAATATTTCACGTAACATCCACAATCAGCTGTTTCCACAACAAAAATCTATTACTAAAACCCTACACCCATATAATTTTCGATCTACACAACCCTAATAAAATTTCTTTTATTTTGATTTTCAACTTTATCATTTATTCTTTCTTATTCCTATCCCTTCATTTTCAACGACGTCAATTTCGAAATGGAGACTTTGTAATCTGGTGGCGAAAAAAGACAGAATTGGCCACAAATATCTGAAAACAAATTGAAAGCGCAAACTCCCACTAGAGTAAATAATAATCAACTAAATAAACAGTTCCGAAAGTGAAAATAATATCGTCAACCCAAAATACAACAGTTGTCAATCAATTCTCCGAAATCTATCAGATGGAAAACTCAGTTTGAAAGTGAAAACAGCAGGTAGGTTGCGACGAGCTTTGTCATCATTCGATTCTGTGTTGTGATTTTGTTGTTTTTATATATTTTTTAGATTATTTTTTCTATTTTTGTAATTATAATAAATTATTAATTTCCATTATTTATATTGAGTGTTGTTGTGAGTGTAAAATTGGGGATGATTTGTTGTTCTGCGGTTTCTCTATTTTGAGTTGTAAACATTTTGGGGAGACAATGGGGGTATTTGTGTTCATTAGGGGTAATCACGAATAAGTTAACATAAGTAATTCAAGGAGTCTCCAAAAATTTCGAGTTGAAAATTTCCATGATTAAAATTCTATTTGGACATCGCTTTTAAGCGGTTTAAGTCAGGATTACAAAAATTGGATCAACTGTATTTTAATAAAAACTATCACATTTTGTTGAAATTTTTTTCCAGAGGTGTAGGTAGTATTACCCTAATTATATATATTTTCCTAGGGGACTTATCGGGATATTTCACCCCGGAGTCGTATTTTAAAGATTATAAAAATACTTTTCTCCAGAGTGGTGGTGTTCCATGTATTTATAGGGTTTTGAGGTCCACATTATTTGACCCAAAACTGATACCGCCACAAATTACACCATTTTGGAAAGCTCAAAGTTTAGATTGGTGAGTGACTATAACAAAATTTGGGTCCAACGCCCAGTTTTTTGTATTAATCGATTTCGAGTATAACCGAGTATCCGTACTCGAATAGGGTAAAAAAATTAGGATCGTTTTTATTAAATTAAAAATATGAACTTTCGAAATTCCACACTGACTCTTAAATAGACTCTTGCCCTATGGACACATTTCAGTGGAACATAAGATAATACAACAGAAACAACGCCTATGTAGAGTTTCGGGTCCTTAGATTCCTATATCTCAAGAAGTATGTACATCTGCTATAAAAATCATATAAGTTCGTGATCATGGAGACGAAACATATATGGAGGTAGGTAGTTTTGACCTTTTAGTACATTTAAAAAGGTGTCGGTATGTCCTTGAAATATATATTTTACAAAATCTAAGCTCAAAAACAACGCCTATGTAGAGTTTCGGCTCCTTAGATGCCCATATCTCACGAAGTATAGACTTCTGCTTTAAACATTATATAAGTTCGCAATCAGGAAGACGAAACATATATGGAGGTAGATAGTTTTGAACTTATACTAAATTTGGAAAAGGGACGGAATGTCCTTGAAAAAAGATTTTAAAAATCCAAATCCATGCCTAACGTTCTTAAAGTCCTTGTAGGTATATTTTTAAAAAATCGCGCTTATTGGTCGGAAAGTCATTGTTAAAATAATATTAAAAATCTACGATTACTGGTCGGAATGTCCTTGTAAAGATTAGTTTTAAAATCCACCTTTATATGTTGAAAAATCCTAGGTTTTTAGAAGCCACGCTTATTGATCGGAAAGTCCCTGTGAAAATCATTTTTAAAAGTCCAACCTCATTGATCAAAAATACCTTCTATAAAAATTCACAGTTAACGATCTTAATGCCCTTGTGAGTATATATATATATATATATATTGTTTTAAATCCACGCTTATTGATCGGAAAGTCCTTGTAAAAATAAGTTTTAAAATCCACGTTTAAAGGTCGAAAAGTCCTTCCTAAAATAATTTTAAAAACCTACGCATGTTGATCTGAAAATTTAAAAAAAATACCCTTCTAGTTTAAATACCCTAAAACGTTCGTGTCGCTTGTGTTAAAAGATTCCATTCAGTTTTTCTTTGAAAGATTTTCTGCTTCAACTCGTCTATGAAAGTCTCTCCGTTTCAGATCGTCTATAAAACAATCTCCCTCTCTGCTGCAGCTTTTCTATTTAAGACTCCTTTCAGCTCGTCTATGAAAGACGAAAGACGCGTCCTAGAAGTCTCTACATGGCTCGTATGTAGAGACTTCCTTCAGACTACCTTCGTCTGGTTACATGTTAACGCGTCTGTCAAATTTTAAATAAAAATATGCCTTCGTTAAGTTGACTACCTGTAACACGTTCTACCCCATCCTTTTGCTACCTAAAAAATACTTATTAAACAATAAATATCCATATAAGAAAAAGTAATAAAAACATGTGTTTCGTTTTTCTAAGAAGCATATGGATTTTTAGTAACCCATACTAATAAAAATCACTGTATTAGTACTACAAGTATTCCACCATTCGGCTACTTTGAATGGAATACCCTTAATATTTCTCCCTTGGTGGCAGTCTATTTTTAAAAAAAGGAAACACACAAACTTATATTTTTTGACAGACTGCATGGAAAGGAAGATATATCAACAACGGTATATTTTTAGTTTGTGAGAACAACGGAAAGAGTGAACACACACAATGTGAAGAAAAATTGAAAAATTCTCGGAAGACAAAAAAATATAAATGGAACGACGAAAATCATTTAACAGTGTTATTACCGATTCATAAGGAAATTAATTTTTAATTAAAAAAATAATAAATTATTTAGTTAATAAAAAATATTGAAATAAAGTGTTAAATATTTGTAATGTAAAACATATTTGAAATAAAACAAAAGAATTTTCCGAGTAAAGAAATTTTGCAACCCCCCAATTACGGGGAAAAAATAATTTGGACAAACTTGAAAAAGAGATCCATTTACACTACTCCCCTGCCCTTTTGGCGTAAAAAATTCCCCCACAAAACAATGCTACTATTTTCGTGGAGAACTAAGGAGAGTTCAAATTGAGTTCAAAAATCGAACTGAGGGTTGTTTCTTCGGTTTCTCTCTCTCGGTCTTGGAGCTGCAACAACACCAACCACTTTTAAACCAAAAAAAAAATCTTTTAACTGACATTTGGTAACCGTTACTCCGCGCACACCACACACACAAACACATACACCAACCGAAAAGTGAAAACAAAAATAACAGTAAAAGGAAAAATCATCCATGAGGAAGAGAAAATCTTGCAAAATTTTCAAAACTATTGAAACGTTAAACAATATTCAACGAATTCAAAACGAAAACGGCGTTATTTAAATAGTTGGTCATGTCGCTGGAGGATCCTTTCTTTGTGGTTAAAGAGTGTGTATTATTTCCAAAAAAAGATATTGAATTTTAAAGAATTTCCTTTTAAAATTTTAATGTGTTCTCTCTCATTTTTCCCATTTCCACGTTTCTTTTCTTCAAAATTTATTATAGCGAGGTTTTCAAAGCTTTAAATAAAACCCGTGGCCTCTATCTACGTTGGCGTGAATTGGGTGAAAATTGCAACAGTGCGGAAGCTGAATGGACCACAAATGAGCTAAGGAATTCATTGCGTAGCATTGAATGGGATTTGGAGGATTTAGAAGATACAATCAATATCCTTTTCAAAGAAGATAGAAAAAAAAAACTGAACATAAAATTAGACAATAGCCAATATGACCATAAATCACATTCATTGTCCTGCAATAAGTAGGGCTGGAGGGGGTTTGGGCGAAACTTTTGTGTGTGGGGTTAAAATGATGGCACTCTCAAAAGCCATTAAAATATTTTTTTGGCAAAAACAAAACACCAGAATTGTGTGAAAAATCAATGTTGACAAGTGTTGTCGCTGTGTTTTTCTTCGCCGAAAGATAAACACAAACATGCACGTTAGACCCCCCAAAAAAAAACAAAAAAATATGTGACGTGATGTGACACAACACCAAACGCCAGGCTTGTTTTTCCGCTTTTCATTTTCTTTGTTTTGATCTCAGGTTTCGCCAAGTGCTAATTTTAAACTATACAACAAGCAGCAGCAGCAACAACAACAAATTATGACATGGTTTTAAATTACATTCTAAATGTCTGGTCTTTTTTGTTGTTTGGTGTCCATGGAGCGACATAAGGGGGACATGACCTCACCGCTTCTCGGCATTATTGTGGGTAGAAGTTTTTTTTTCTTCCCGCCCCGGTTAAATGCATTTTTATTATTATTAATTAGCAGATTTGTTATTAAATTAAATATGTTAAGTGGAGAAAAGTTTTAACCTTTTATGGAACGTGAGAATATAGTTTAAAAGGGACCAACATGAAAACTTATTTTTCCAGGACTTTTTCGACCACTTAAAAAGTCTTTTCTGACGAGCTGATCTGAGTCCTTTTAAACAAGATTAAGGAACCTTTATTGAGGAGTTGAACGTAGTCTTTTTGTACTAATGAAGGTAATCTTATAGACGAGCTAATGAGATTCCATATAGACCGGCTGTTGAGTATCTTTCATAGGCGGCCTAAAGGAAGTCTTTCAGAGAAGAGACTTTCATAGAGAAGTTGGAAGGAGTCTTTCAAAGATGAGCTGAAGCAGGGTCCCTAGAAAAGCTAAAGGGAGCCTTTCATAAACGAGCTGAGGCAGGGAGTCTTTCGTAGACGAGTTGAAGCCTGGGGCTCTTTCATAGACGAGCTGAAAGGAATCTTTCATAGGCGAGCAAAATCTGGAAGTATTTCATAGAAGAGTTGAAGCCGGGAGACTTTCATAGGCGAGCTGAAGGGAGTATTTCATAGACGATCTGAAGACGGGGGTCTTGCATAGACTATCTGAAGGGAGTCTTTCATAGACGAACTGAAGGGAGTCTTTCTTAGACGGGCTGAAGCCGGGAGTCTTTCACATACGAGCTGAAGCAGGGATTTTTTCATTCTTTCGTAGACGGGCTGAAGCCGTGAGTCTTTCGTTCTTTTATAGACGAGCTTAAGCCAGAAGTCTTTCATAGACAAGCTGAAGTCTTTAATAGACGAGCTAAGGCGGGATTCTTTCATAGACGAGCTGAAGCCGGGAGTCTTTCATTGACGGGCTGAAGGGAGTCCTTCATAGGCGAGCTGAAACAGAGAGTCTTTCATAGGCGAGCTGAAGCCGGGATTCTTTCATAGACGATCTGTAGGCAGTCTTTCATAGACGATCTGAAGGCAGTCTTTCATAGTCGAGCAGAAGGGAGTCTTTATTGACGGACTGAAAAGAGTCTTTCATAGAAGAACTGAAGAGAGTCTTTCATTGACGAGCCGATGCGATTCTTTCATAGGTATCAAGCTGATAAGAGTCTTTATATACGAACTGAAGGGAGTCTAGATGAGCTGAAAAGACTCTTTATAGACGAGCTGGGATTTTTTATTATTTTCCGACTTCGGTATATTAAAAAAATACAAGGATATTCAGGGCAGCTTGAATTTTTTAAATTAAAAAAATAATAATTTTTGCAAGTACTTTTCGCCCACTAGGCATGGATTTTTAGCAATTATTTTTACAAGGACATTCCGACCAATATGTGTGGACTTTTAACAATTCTTCTTACAAGGACTTTCCGATCAATAAGCTTGGATTAAAAAAAATATTTTTACAAAGAGTTTCCCATCATCATGCTTGAAATTTTAAAAATTATTTTTACAAGAACTTTCAAAGCAAAAATCGTGGATTAAAAAAAGTTGTTCAAAAGAACTTACAAGGCCTAAAGCATGGATTTAAAAAAAAAAAATTATTTAAAATATCATACAAGGTCTTAAGCATGGATTTTTAAAAAGTTGGTTCAAAAGGACATACAAAGCCTTAAGCGTGAATTTTTAAAAATCATTTGTAGAAGGACTTTAAGACCATTAAGTTTGCATGTTTAAAATTTATTTTTACAAAGACTTTGAAGGCATTAAGCGTAGATTTTTAAAAATATTTTTTATTTAAAGAATTTATACCCCACACCTAATAACAATGCCCTCTATATAAACAATAAATCAACTTAAATATTTATTTCCAATCCTTTGTATATGGTTTCATACCTTAACCGCATCCAGATGATTTCTAATTTTTCCTCCCTTTACGCATAGTCGAAAAGAATCCTAGTAAATTTCGCATCGATAATCGTGAACTATCTAGTCGCCGGCACTTTATCGACAACACACGCGATGAAGTCAAACAGATGAAAGAGAAGATGAGCATTAATCGCTCACGAGACAGAGATATAACGGCACATCAACCATTATTACAACAACAACAACAGCACGAACAAGAGCACGAACACAATTTGGAAAGCGTGGTTTTATATTTGTCGGGATCGGGATCGGTGTTGAGAGTTTCTCTCTCTTGAGAGAGTAATTAGAGTTGCGCTATTTTTAATTTTGTAACAAGCGTACTTTTTGTTCACAAAAGGTACGAATTGACATAAACGTACCAAAACAAAAATTAGATTTTTTTATTATTCTTGAATACATTTACGCTTAAATTATAACATATATTATTTATGCAAATAACTGGTATAAATATTGGCCAATATTTATCGATAATTATGATTTATTTTCATTTGAAGTAGAATTTCAGGTACCTTTTCGTACTTTTTTGTTCCTACCTGTGGTAATGTTTTCCAACACAATTCACAATTTACCACTGAGAGAGAGAGAAACTCTCAACACCGATACCGATCCCGACAAATATAAAACCACGCAAAACGATCGAAATTCAACGAATTACAGCTATCATCAACAGTCGTCGAATACGAACGGCAACAGTGATCGGCAACATTTGGTCGATTGTCCCTCGTCACATTCCCTATTGAACGGTGGTAGTAGTACGGTTGGTGCTGTAGTAGCCGGTACAATGGCAGCGGTACGACACAGTGGAGCTAAATACTCCAAATTGGAGAATACAATAGATAGTCCGGGTCATTATAATTCATTGGATAGTCCATCGCATCGATTTGTCGGCGAGACGGTGTCGGTGCAACAGCGTATGATGCAGGGCCAAGACGAGCAATTGGATATGATAAGTGATTCGATAGGAACTTTAAAGACTGTATCACGTCAAATTGGCGTTGAATTGGATGAGCAGGCAGTGTAAGTTGGCGATTGGGACATTTTTGAATTGAATGCATTTTGTGTGAATAATTTTTGTATTTTTTATTGTTGTTTTAGAATGCTGGATGACTTTGGTAATGAATTTGAGACAACAGAATCAAAATTGGATTCAACAATGAAGAAAATGGCTAAAGTTTTACACATGAATAATGGTGAGTTTATTTGAATTTTGTATTAGAAAAAAAGCTGAAGGAAAGAGTCTTTATAAACGAGATAAAGACGAACAGAATGGGCCTTTACAGGCGAGCTGAAAAAAGCCTTGATAGACATACTGAAGGGAGTCTTTATAGACGTACTGAAGAAAGTCTTTATACACGAACTAAAGGATCTCTGTAGGCCATCGGAGGGAAGTCGTTATGGACGAGTTGACGTGTTTATAGCTGAAGGATTCTTTTTAGACGAGCTTAAAGGCGACTTGATAAACGTACTTAATGAAATCTTTATAGACGTACTAAAGGGATCTCTGTAGGCGATCGGAAGGTTGTCGGTTTAGGCGAGTTGACGTGTTTATAGTCCAGCTGAAGGGACTCTTTATAGACGAGCTGAAGGGAGTATTCATAGAAGAGATGAAGGGAGTCTTTATAGATGAGCTGAAGGGAGTCTTTATAGACGAGTTGAAGGGAGACTTTATAGACGAGCTGAAGGGAGTCTTTATAGACGAGCTGAAGGGAGTCTTTATAGACGAGCTGAAGGGAGTCTTTATAGACGAGCTGAAGGGAGTCTTTATAGACGAGCTGAAGGGAGTCTTTATAGACGAGCTGAAGGGAGTCTTTATAGACGAGCTGAAGGGAGTCTTTACAGACGAGCTGAAGGGAGTCTTTACAGACGAGCTGAAGGGAGTCTTTACAGACGAGCTGAAGGGAGTCTTTACAGACGAGCTGAAGGGAGTCTTTATAGACGAGCTGAAGGGAGTCTTTATAGACGAGCTGAAGGGAGTCTTTATAGACGAGCTGAAGGGAGTCTTTATAGACGAGCTGAAGGGAGTCTTTATAGACGAGCTGAAGGGAGTCTTTATAGACGAGCTGAAGGGAGTCTTTATAGACGAGCTGAAGGGAGTCTTTATAGACGAGCTGAAGGGAGTCTTTATAGACGAGCTGAAGGGAGTCTTTATAGACGAGCTGAAGGGAGTCTTTATAGACGAGCTGAAGGGAGTCTTTACGAGCTGAAGGGAGTCTTTATAGACGAGCTGAAGGGAGTCTTTACAGACGAGCTGAAGGGAGTCTTTATAGACGAGCTGAAGGGAGTCTTTATAGACGAGCTGAATGGAGTCTTTATAGACGAGCTGAAGGGAGTCTTTAACAACGGGCTGAGCCTTTATCGAAGATTTTTAACGATTTTGAGGTTTACAGGTACGTTTTTTTATTTTATGTTCAGAATGAGTGACAGCTCTGACTACCAAAAATTATCATAATCGATCCACATTTAGGTTTAGCCCCCATATGACTGACGGTATCTACCGTTACCCGACAATATAAAGATACAGCCTTTTTATAGGTATTTTGATGGCAAAACATCCCCAATGATATCTAGGAAGTGTGTAAAACTTCAAGGATTCGAAGTGGTATTTGCATAAAAAAATTAGATCTATAAAATTCTGTGCTAAAAAGTATGTTTTCTTAAAAAAAACTCATATATAGACTTTGAGGCCTATTAATTTTTTTCCATTCAAAATCAAATTTGTAGACTTCTAATTATATTATCTACTTCGTTAATTTATTTCCAGATAAACGTCAATGGGCTGCAATATTAATATTATCAGCGCTTTTATTAATTGTGATAATTTTATTTATAATTTTGTAAATCATTTAAATACGTTTTTATTTTTCAAACATAGTTTTTTTATTTGCCAAACTTAATGATTCTTTTAAAGAAATTCTATTTTTTTTAAATAGTCAAAAATAGCTATTAGTTTTAAATATTTAATTTTGTAAATTTTATTTTAACAAAACAAAGAATCATTTGAAAATATTTTATTAGTTCAAACAACTAAAATGATTAATCTAAACCGTACCGTGGCGGCAATAGTTTCTATAAAAAAAATGGCAACCGAAAACCAAATAAACAAAAAATCTATGCAACAAAAGTAAATATATATATTTTTTAAATTAGTTTATTATTATTATTTAAGTGCAGCGTTTAACTATATATAGTCATGAATTTAAATTATAGTTAGTTTTGTTTTGCTATGAAAAAGAAAGTATATTCATAATTAAAAACAAAAGAATAAATATAAATCAAATTCCATCTTTTGGTTGGTTTCCTTAATAAAAAAACACACACAACAAGAAACAACAACAAAATCATGTACAATGTAGCAATTTAGGAAAAATCAAGAAAATAATAAAACAAAAAGTGGTGATTGTTTCAGTAGGTATTCCATGCAATAAAGTATAAAAAAAGAATGGACAATTAGGTACCTTATTACCTTATTAAATGACACAAACACACACATATATATCAAACTGTCCCCCTATATCCCCCTCTTTCAAATTCAATGACAATTTTCAAATATTTAACATTCATATTTATCCAAAAACACAGAGACACTAACTCCAGATGAAGAAATATAAATCGACTTTGAAACTATTATAATCCAAGAAATATTTATCACACATATATTTATTTTAATTTTGTTAATTTTTTTGGTGATGATCATCGTCTACCACTTAAAGAAATTTAATAAAAAGTATTAAAAAGAAAAGGAAACAAAAGTAATGCAAAGGAACTCTAGTATAAATCTATATATTTAAGAAACGAATGTAAGTTTAACAAGAATTATAACAACAAGAACAAATGACACATATATTATTAGAATTGTGTATTAAAAAAAACAACAACAACTAATTTGGTTTGAAAAGAAATATACATATATATTACAACAACAAAAGACAACATAATTTTTTGCAAAGTGTGTTTTATTTATAGTATAAATTAAAAAAAATAGGCTCGGTCTCTTTTCTCCCCCATCTCTCCACATCTTTTCCTTTTCGTGGATGATCACAATGGACCTGACGGTCTCAGAGTGCTGCAGCCACATTAGTGACTGCACATCCCCAAATTTCCGTAACAAAAGTTCAGTTCCAGAACCTAAAAGAATATACTCATTTTTCAAGTATTGCAACTTTTTACTCGAAACCCGTTCCTGAACCCACAAAACTGGTAAACATTGATTCAAATTTAACAGAGCACAAAACAAAATGGCGTTCTCTTTGTAAACTTTTTACTCGAAAAATTTGGCCGAGTAAAAATGGTAAACATGGCTGTTATGTTGATTTTGAAGTATTGACATCTAATTTTGGCATATTTAATAGATTTGCGTTCACGAACTTTTCAAATTATTTTGTACTCTGAGAGCAATTTTGAAATGTTTCCCTTTTACTAGCTTTACTATTAAAAATGTTATGGCACAGACCATATAGTATCTACATTCTCAATTTATTTCCAGATAAACGTCAATTCCGTTCGTAACTCGTCGAAATACTCATTTCCTACCCTATATCTGTCTGTCCGTCGCTATCTTCTGAAGGAATTGAGATAGGGTGCTGAAATTTTACATAGGGTATACCCCCATAATAACGGTACCCCAATTTTCCGTATTTTGAGGTTCTTGAGCGCGTTTTTCAAGGGAATTCGCTGTAATTTGGTATTTTGTAGTGTATATGCCAATAAATCTCCCTACTAAAAACCCCCATATAACCCCCACTTTTTTATATTAAAATAGTTAGCTGATTTGTTTCGTGTGTTGGGGTTGTCCCCATATAAGCGTATTCTGTCATAGTGTAGAGGATAATCGTTGCTCGGAATAGTCAGTGTTCACCCTACAAAGTGTGGAATTCTAAGACGATTTAGCCATCTGTTGTAATTATTCCACCTCCTAAAGATATCGTCAAAAAAACTCGAACCTGACGATAATGAAATATATCGGCTGGCATTTAGGCATCTCCTCCATAAATTGATACCTCCTGAAGAAAAAAAATTGAGATACAAAACTAAAAAAAAACAAACTAAAATATTGGGTCCAAATTTGACAAATGTCGGTCATTAATTAGGCATAGCCCTCAGAAAATTTGTTTTTTGACCAAGTTTGGTCCAAAGGAAACAGACAGGCAACCTCGGCTTAAAACGGCTTACATATCCCTGTTATCAGCTGATTGTCCCATTTCCAATGTTTTTCTCCATTGAGCATGACACCCAATTCGTAAACAAAAACAAACGAGCTTATTCTTCATCGGTCATTCTTTTTGCCATCTCTTTTCGTAGCATTCGGAACGTAAATAAGTTTGGTCGCGTCGACTTCAGCAACTTCACAGTCGAAGTTGTTGTGTAGATTTGAATAGTTCAGTCGTTTTGATTATTTCCCATTTAAATCTTTAAATTTAATGCTAAAATGTATTAAACCCCTTTTGAATTGGCATTGTAATTTTAATTTAACAATAAGGTATGGAAATCATGAAATTTATTACCCATAAAATCGAGAATTAATTACAATCTAATTTCATTCTAACCGTTCAAGGTCATTTACCGCCATGAAACGAACATCTAAAAACGATAGCTCAACAGCTGCCAAGAAGTTAGCTAAACAAAATGAGGCTAAAACTTCTGAATCATCATCACCTCCATCATCGGCAGGGAGTTCATCAAATTACGTTGAGAATTTCAAGCAACAGCGACTGGACTGCGCTGCTGACATTCTTCAGTTCTCCTTCAAAAAGAAACGTGTACGAATTCTGAGCAAAGATCAAGAAGTTCGTGAGGATTGTCAGGGTCCTGTGGTTTATTGGATGTCACGTGATATGCGTGTCCAGGATAATTGGGCATTTTTGTATGCTCAGCGTTTGGCCATGAAATTGGAGCTACCATTGGTGGTGGTATTTTGTTTAGTACCGAAATTTCTAAATGCCACAATACGACATTATAAATTTCTATTGGGTGGCTTGGAAGAGGTTGCCCAGGAATGTGAGGAATTAAAAATACCGTTTCAGTTGCTAATGGGTCCAGCCAAGGAACGCCTGTTGGCATTTATGAAAGACCACGATGGAGCTGCTGTGGTTTGTGATTTTGCTCCTTTGCGGGTACCCATGCAATGGGTGGAGGATGTAAAGGAAGGTTTGGAGAAATCCTGCAAATGTCCTCTTATACAAGTTGATGCCCACAATGTTGTGCCCGTATGGGTTGCTTCAGATAAACAAGAATATGGAGCCCGAACCATACGCAATAAAATCAATTCTAAATTACCTGAATTTCTTACCGAATTTCCACCTTTGGTGAAACATAAGTATAATCTTAAGAAGGAGAATCTCGCCAAAGTTGATTGGAAAAAAGCTTATGACTCGCTGGAATGTGATATGTCAGTGGATGAAGTACCGGGCGTTAAGCCGGGCTACAAAGCTGCCTGCAAACAACTGGAAGACTTCTGCACCAAGCGCATTAAACTTTTCAGTGACAAGCGTAATGATCCCACCATAAATGCCTTATCAGGATTATCGCCATGGTTCCATTTTGGCCAGATATCCGTCCAACGTTGTGTACTTGCCGTGCGCCAGCATAAAAATCGCTTCAAAGAATCTGTGGAGGCTTTCTGTGAAGAGGCAATTGTTCGCCGTGAGTTGGCCGATAATTTTTGTTATTACAATAAAAATTATGATAATCTCAAGGGTCTACATGACTGGGCAGCTAAGACCCTTGATGATCATCGTAAAGATAAACGTTCGCCCTGCTATTCTCTGGAAGAATTTGAAACCGCTCATACCCATGATGATTTGTGGAATAGTGCTCAGCTGCAGTTAGTGAAAGAGGGTAAAATGCATGGATTTCTGCGTATGTATTGGGCAAAGAAAATTTTGGAGTGGTCTGAGTCGCCAGAAAAGGCATTGGAGATAGCCATTTTGCTGAATGATAAATACAGTTTGGATGGTAGGGATCCAAACGGCTATGTGGGTAAGTAGAAAAGTTTTGTATTTGTTTATTGGAAGCGTTTTTTTTAAATAAAATTAATTTCAAGGTTGTATGTGGTCCATTGGTGGTATCCATGACCAGGGGTGGGCAGAAAGACCCATCTTTGGAAAAATCCGCTATATGAACTATCAGGGTTGTAAGCGTAAATTTGATGTCAATGCATTTATTGTACGTTATGGCGGTAAAGCGTATCACAAAAAGGAATCGAAGTAGGGTTGTCATTCACTCTCAGAGGAACTAGACGCTATATGGACACAAAGCTTATATATTTTTCATTTGAAAATCTTTTCCTATAGCGTATCAGATTTTGGCGGAATAACTTCTTACAAAATTACATACCACTCGAATATGTATTTGTTACTTATTTTTGTATACTGTGTATTATTTTTGAATAATAAATGAAACAAAAAATCCTATTCCAACAAGAGGTGCTATTTTGAATTAACCGGAATTTCCAGTCATTTTTGGCGGTCTTTGACATTTGATAAGTAGAAAGTAAAAAATGGGTCTTAAGTTGGGCTGGGCCGAACATTTTATAACTTCAAATCAAATTAACTGAAAATGGGTTGAACCAAAGAAACTTGTGGTCCGACAGTACTCTTAATGGTATAGTAGAATATAAATTGTACATTCTTGAAGGTTCTGGAACAAAGTATGTATACCCTGATTGCCCTTAAGGCTTATGGTATTAATAACCACAAAGATATAAAATAAAAAAATAAAAAACTTCCTTGTTTCTTCTCCAGATTCCATTACAATATTATTTTTCTGTTTGCTTGTTTTGTTTTACAATTAAAAAAAGAACTTATGCATATTAAAAATGACGACAATTTGTTGTTGTTGTCGAGACAGTCTCATTTCAAATGTGACCGACCTTAGCATTATTTTTTTAATCCTTCTCAGCAATCTTTGTGAGATGATCTTCAATTTCCTTTTCACTTAACACCGTAAATTCTGGACGTTCCTTGCTGACAACACCAATCTCAATACCATTTGGTTTAAAATCGACAGCCAAAACATTTGACAAACAGGTAATGGCCATTTGGATGGTTTTCTCTTCATTGAGATTGGGTTTGTATTTCTTTTCCAAATAGCTATTGGCTTCCAGTTGTTTCACACCCACCGAAATGGCACGATAACCGCAATAATAACCAGCCGGATCGGTTTTATAGACACAGGGACCCTTTTCGTCATCGTAGGCAATGAGAGTCATGCCTAAGGAAAGAAGGGAGGGTTTAAAGAGATACTTAAAGGAATATTTTGGGATATATACTTACTACAACCCAAGGGACGCATTTCAGCATTTTGCGTATAAACTTGATTTATATCGGCAATGCGGCGACACAATACATCCACTGGCATATCATAGCCGAATTTGTAACGCCAATTGGCGGCTTCATAGCGGGCCTTTTGTACCTGGGATCTGCTGTCGGCTAAATTAGAAATTATACTCGTTAAAAACAAGTTCCACAATTATTTTGTTAATAAACATTTGCAACAAAATGAATATAAGAGATGGATTTTGTACTACAGATAACTCTAGCCGATTCCTACTCTTATTTTCATTATTATTATTTCAATATTATTCTCATATTTACCAATACGTCCGGTCATAACACAACCAATATTTTTGGTAATTCTAAACAAATGTGTAACCGTATTAGGATCAATCAGTTTCTCGGTGACCTTTTTTTGTGTGGCCACTACAGCACAATCGGCACCCTTTATGGCCACCGAGGTAATACCTTCCTGATTGATGGACTTGAAGGCATATTCTGTAAACAGAATAATAATATGAATATATTTTTTTTCAAATACATGAATGATTTTGCAAAATCATTCCGCCGCCTCATCTTCTGCAACTTACCGACTTGATACAGTCTTCCTTCGGGCGAGAAAATGGTAATATGCCTATCAAAACCGGCCGAACTTCCACGAGACATGGCGAGAGGTTATTATTTTTTGGGAATACAAGTAGCGAAAATAATAATTCTATTGAAAATGCAAAAATAAATGAATTTTTGCAATGCGGTAAATCGGTCTACTAAACAACTATCCGTACTATCCGTCCCTACAAACAACAAAATTCAACCAGTCATGCAGCTGTCAAAATTTTGACAGTGGAATCGCAAATAAGGCAACCTAAATCAAAAGCGTTAGTGGTCACATACAAAGCGTGTGGCGTATAGTCTGTTACATGGTGTTGCCAGGTTGGAGTATTTTTAAATAACAGTTTTTTCATTGGATCCTAGACCTATTGTCGAGGAAACACTTATTCATTGTTGTTGTTGTAGCAGTCCTACTGTTTTTTCCACAATGGTCTAAAGTGACAGACGTTGGCCGAATGAGACTCGCGTCATTTCGGATCATAGACTCAAGTGGAAATGCTTCTTCATTGTTGTTGTAACAGGTTGGCTGTTGATGAAAGATCTTTCGTGAAAATATTCATAGAAAATGGAACCAGGAAAAGGAAATATATAAATTGTTAATTAAGAATTCGGATTTGAAGAGGACAGCCAGAGAAACTATGCCATAAGCCATAAGTCTATAGGCAATAGGCTTGTAGGCTCGGACGGACAATTGAATAGATGGTGTGTGTCGTAAGGGCTTTGCTGGCAGGAGGACCAATGTTCCGGGGTCAAGAGTTTTCGATACGAGTTGAGAACATTTCTGTATCCGAACCTTAGTTGCCTAGGAAGAAGCTTCTCATGCCTGATGATGTTGGAGTAGGACTTTATTGCATGTGTAGCCATTTGTGGCTTCGGAGACCGCCCGTCGATGCACGGATTTCATCGCATTCGCTATCAACTGTTGAAGTCCGATGGAATGACATCTTGGATGCCATCATGATAGCGCTTGAAGTCCTGACGGATGTGTCGCGGAGGTGGATCTGTCATCATTGTGTGATGGGATGACACGGCAGATAGCATGCCAGCAGGAACAGTCTGGTCAACCACACATTATATTGCTTGACTGAAAGCATGATCGAAGTTCGTCACCTGGACACAGCCGGTTGCAATTCTCGGAGTGCATTATTTTCAGTTGTTTGTCGCTAAATAAATAGACAGCCTAGACTGGGACAGCATAATTAAGGATGGGCCGACCTATGGCCATATATGTCGTTACCAACGTTTCTTTATCCTTGTCCCAGGAGGTGCCAGCCAAAGCTTTCATAACTTTATTCCTAGATTTCACCTTCTGGTTGGTGTAGTTAGAGTGCGAGAAGGAATTAAGGAGGTTATCGAAGGCTACCCCAAGGATTTTCCTTCATTGTTGTTGTTATTATTGCTATAATGCTTGGTTACTAAAATGGAAGATATTTCGGATCTAAAGGTTTCAACAGCAATGTGTAACAGTCAATCGTGCAGCTGTGGTACAAGATGGTCTGCCTGCGGCTTAGCTCGCCGGATGGGTAGGTTCAATTTCTGCATCGACTGTATACATAAAATTTCTGTACCTGTAAGGATTTTCGTAACGTATTTTTTTCTAATTTGAAATATGAAAAATGGAATAACAATAAGGAGTAAAACGGTGCAATCTAAAAACATACCTTCTTGCCATTTAGCTCACAACAAATACCATGTAGACATTCTACTTTAGAGGTTGAGATGTTTCTACCTCATTTGGCTACCCTCCCCTTATGACTTTGCAGTCATCCTTGGTATTTCTAGTGCCAAATTTATAATTAAGAAATACCCCATTGATGCAAACTCAACTGTATGATGCCTATTCAGCCCATTGTTACTATTCACTTAATCCATTTTTTTTAATTAAATATACAAAATTTTCAAGAATTATATATATTTATATTTTTAAACATTTTTATAATAATCGAGCGCAAATTTTAAATTAATATATATATACATTGTATAATAGTATTGGTTTAATATTATGTTATTATATTTTTAGGATACAGTTTTTATCTTTCGATTTATAGGTACAACATTTTTAATTCAATTTCTGTGTTTTTATAAATAATTTTAGTAGTTTTCTTTTTTTTTTATATGTTTATATATATTTATGACATTATGAATATTTTTGTTAAATAATTTATTTACAAATTTCTTATATTTTATACCTAATGAACAGGAATTTGCTTTTGGGTGTAAATATATTACAATAAAATAATAATGCCTGAAAATAGGCTTTGATAATGACATTATAAAATTAATTTCCATATAATTCTTACTTTGTTGTTTATGAAAATCGCATAACAAATATAGAAAGTACTGATTGAATTATTGTCAATACAATGAGTGACTTGAAGTCTATTTTTATGTATGTATATATATATATAGCAAATATATGTTTAACTTTTTTAATACTTTTGCGTGAGCGATTTAAGTGTTATAAATTAGGACTGTCATATTGCTGTTGGTTTTGTACTTACTCTACATTCGTAACATGTGGACAGTAGTCAACATTTTTGTAGCTTTTCCTTATGTCAACTGGGGTTTTAACAGAAAGCTCATATAGGAAGCTGTGGTGTCACCATCTATTGTCTGGCAGCAGACAATAATTTTTAGGATGAAATGGTGTTCACCTTATGGAATATTGTGGTCAACCTTTAAATATGGTTTAAACGATGGAAACCACAATATTCTTAATTAAAAAAAAGATAAAAGTTCCACTTTATTATCATACACAAGATTGAATTGGATTTTTATGGCAACTATGCTTACCCGAGGTGATAAATTGGTAATTAATAACAAAGATTTGCCGATAAAAGTTCTTTCTATTACTTTCGTATTAACCTATTTCTCATCAACACTAACAGTACGTTTACATTTAACCGGATTTCGTTAACCCAGTGGGTTTCAATTGTCATTTCCTTTGCATATATGTCAAATAAATCATCATAAAGTAGATTAACCCGGTAAAAAGTTCTAATGTACAAGGAGTTTAAGTATGAATTATATCACTTCTGAATTTGACTTTCTTATTGGATATGACTGCAACTGTATACGTCTTGACTTTACACAGATGGAAGGAAAAAGAGACCGATAAAACGTGTTTCAAGTGCAGGGTGACCTTCTAGGCTCAGGATACACATATGATTGTCACATCAATTGCAACTGTGGTGGAACCTACTGATTTTTTATTAGGGACCTAAAGTTCTACTTCATAAAAATCAGTTTTTTGAAGAAATCAAGTTTAAAATTATATTATTTTCTTTGTTTTTTTTCATTATTTATTAATTTCAATGTTTTAATTCGTTTGCCTGTTCCTATGCACAAGTAAAAGTAGAAGATTTTAAAAACGCTGAAATCAAAATTAATTTCGATTAAAAGAAAATTCAAAATATTACTGATTTTAAGGTAATATATCTCAACGTAAACGCATTATAAATTGCCAACTAGATCCTAACGGTGTTGAGTCAATTATGTCATTTATTTGACGAATATCCAATATAATTTATATGACACATTTTTCTAAAACTAGTTTAAGATCAATGGTGCGGTTACATTCATATATTGATCAATAGACATATTACGAACTCGGAACGTTTTTCATTTTGATGACAATGCTTGAAATGTTGTTAACCAACACTGTCTAATCGACAGACATCTACTTCATTCCAACTTTTATGATGTATCGCCAAATAAAAAGAAATAAATAATATATGTGGCTGTCACAAATGTTAAATCGATGTAGCCTCCATATAACTGTACCTTCCAATATTCTGTATTTTGGACACGTTTGCAACCAAATTGGCTTTAGTTTGGTATTTTATATTATTATTAGGTGTCATATCTCACTACCGAAAAATTTTCAATATTGATTCCAGTTCCCCATTTAACAGTACCCATCTCTATTCCGTATTTTGAGAATTCAAAACATCTTTTTCTCGCGTCTTTTTCTGTATGTTCCAGGCTCTATCATGAGTCAGGGTCAAATGTTGTGTGTATTAGGGGTTTTCCTTCCCAGTGGGGTATATAGCCGGTTTTAGAGCTTTCCCTAAAATTGGAACGCATTTCAAATAGGTAGCTCATTTTTTAATCTTATCAAAAAAAGCAACAATTGAACATTGGACACTAACTACACTAACTATTTAACAAAAGGGAGATTATTCCAAAGTTTTTATAGGCATTTCAGGGAATTAGCGAATATAATCAGTTCCCAAAACCAGTCACACTTCCAATACATTCCATTAATTTTGAAAAACTAGTTGAAAAATCATGGAAAATAACGGTGCATTGAAAGGAAAAACTTTGTTTATAACTGGTGCCTCCAGAGGCATTGGTAAAGCAATTGCCCTGAAGGCAGCCAAGGATGGAGCCAATATTGTTATTGCAGCCAAAACTAGTGATCCACATCCTAAATTGCCCGGTACCATTTATACGGCCGCCGAGGAAAGTAGGTATCCATGAAAAATTAATGGGTAGGAACTTGGATTATTAAAGGTTTTTTATATTTTTTCCAGTTGAAAAAGCCGGTGGAAAGGCCTTGCCCTGCATTGTAGATGTACGCGACGAAAAACAAGTTAGGGCAGCCGTTGAAGCTGCTGTTGCTAAATTTGGTGGTATTGATATTGTCATAAATAATGCCAGTGCCATTTCATTGACCGGCACTTTGGATACCGAAATGAAGCGATATGATTTAATGCACAATATCAATACCAGAGGAACATTTTTGGTGTAAGCATGACTGGCAGTTTTTATATATTCGTTGTAAACTAATTATATATGTTTTAGTTCCAAGGAATGCCTACCATACCTGCTGAAAAGCAAACATGCCCACATTTTGAATATTTCCCCACCCCTAAGCATGAAACCAATTTGGTTTGGTAGCCACGTAGCCTATACTATGGCCAAATATGGCATGTCTATGTGTGTTTTGGGTATGGCGGAGGAGTTCAAAGATCAAAATGTCTCCGTCAATGCCTTATGGCCACAAACGGCAATTCAGACAGCTGCCATTGATATGTTAAATGGACCCGAGGCTGCTCAATATTCTAGAAAAGTTGATATTATGGCTGATGCTGCATATGTTATACTATCGCAAACACCACCCAAGGCCCCCACCGGCCAGTTCTTTATCGATGAAAAGGTGTTGCTTAAATCTGGTGTTACCGATTTAAAACAGTATGCCGTTAATCCAGCAAATGCTGATAAGCTACACATGGATTTCTTTTTGGAGGATGTAGATGAATATCTGGCACCAAAATCTAAAATGTAAATTGTTTAAATTGTTAAAGAGAAATGTATGTAACATGGAGTATTGTTATGTGAAAATGTTTTTCCATAGTTTAGGAAAAAAAGCTTATGTTGGAAAATGTAAATCACGGATTAAGGGGCAATAAATATTTGTATTTTTATATTCGAAAACATGTATAATTTATTGAAATGATAGAGAGCTGTATAAAAAACCTGGTCCTATATTGATCATATTCTGCATAGAAATATGTCATCTTTAAAGAAACTTAAATGCCTATTTACATCAACTTCGGTAGGAAAATGGGCTTAAAACTTCAAAATCTCGAAAATTGGTGGGACGTTAATATGAGGCTATTTTTAAATATGGACCAATATTCTGAAGGGATATTTATCACCTTAAAAATACCTAAAATGAGGCGGATCAACTATAAGACGCCTATACAAAAACATGGAACGTTATATCCACTTTAAAATATGTTCTTTCCTAGGTTTGGAAAAATTTTACGATGTACAAAGTTTAAATCAAGTCGAATACTCAAAAAACCTCATATGAGACTTATATATATTTCAAAATTGTGACGCTGAGTGAGGGAGAAAGTAGAAGATGTAAACCGATAGGCCCCATCTTCGTTCAATTTTTCAAAACTTTGAGGTAATTGCAATGTGTGGCGTTGTTACAACAAAACTTAAATCGATTTTTTTACTAGATCTACTTTTAGTACAAATATTGCGACCTGAAAAAAATGGGTCAAATCGGATTTTCAATAAGCTTAAACAAGTTGGTACAAGAAGATCTATGCACTTCACGCTTAGAAGTATCGAATCGACTCCCTTCTTCATTATCGCATGCACCGATTGGCTCCAAATCGTCTAAAAACCGATAGTACAAATATTTCGATGAGTATTTCTGATCGAATCAAGCTGGCAGGGAGACCAGCTGCATATCAGCTACCTCTTATGTTTGCTGTCAAAATCCATTATTGTGAATTGAATTTCATTATGAAAACGTAAACAAAGTCCTCATTTTGGCACATTAGACTTGAGAAAAAACAGCTGACTTTTGCTAGCTGGATGACATTATAGAACTTGAATCTGAGTTTCGCTAGCTGGCCGTATTAATAGATCTTTTTTCGTCTATACTCCTCCTCCTGGACTAGGACCATATGTCATGCGTATACAAAGCCTAAAAATCTTTAAAAAGGAGACAGCTTCCATGAATTGATATTTTGTGAATTGATAGGTTATCCGTATACGAAGAATTTCGTCTAATTTGATAAATACGTGTTAGTTAAGCGTGGGCTCAACGAATCGCCATTTTGTAAAATTTTATTTTTTCAGTCCGTGGGCGTATTATACTTTTTAATTGAATAATTGATCTTGATTCCACCTGTAAACCGCAAATATGACATCTTTTGATTTGGCAACTCTAATATGTGTCAAGAACATATGGTTCCATTTAATCCATTGGAGATTAATAGCATGGCCTATAAATAAGGTCACCAAGGGAGACCAGCTGATTATCGATACCTCTCAAGTTTCCTGTCAAAATGCATTATTGTGAATTGACTTCCATTATGAAAACGTAAACAAAGTCCTCATTTTGGCACATTAGACTTGAGAAAAAAACAGCTGACTTTTGCCAGCAGGGTGACATTATTAATAGAACTTGAATCTGAGTTTCGCTAGCTGGCCGTATTAATAGATCATTTTTCGTCTATATTCCTCCTCCAACTAGTCCACTTCCTATTTAGTACAAAAGGTATAGGATCATATATCATGCGTAGACAAAGTTTAAAAATCTTAAAAAAACGAGTACATCTTCCATAAGTTTATATTTTGTGAATTGATAGGCTATCCGTATACGAAGAATTTCGTCTAATTTGATAAACACGTCTTATAGTACGTTTACATTTAACCGGATTTCGTTAACCCAGTGGGTTTCAATTGTCAATTCCTTTGCATATACGTCAAATAAATCCTCAAAAAGTAGGTTAACCCGGTAAAAAGTTCTAATGTACAAGGAGTTTTAGTTAAAGAATCGCAATTTTGTAAAATTTTATTTTTTAAGCCCGTGGGTGAATAATGCCATGTACAGACGAGCGTTGTTCGCTCTCTCATTCGTTGTTCGACCCTTAATTATGAAGTAATTACTTAGTTCCCCATACAAAATTGTCTGAGCGAACACCGACTTTTGTACGTTGTTCAATTCGAATCACTCTCTGAATCACCAAGAAATTTGTCCCATCCCTAAAAACTGAGAGCATTTATCGAAAATAAATTAATTTTGACAGCTTGAAAATATTTATAAAATTTTCAACCTTTTTTAGTAATATTGAAAATGATGAATGAAAAGTAAAAAATTGTCTAGTTTTTATATATGCAGCAGGATGTAAATTTTGTTATCTACATAATGCAATGTGAATTTCTTTCCCCATGGTTCTAATTAGCGTACAAAACAAGAAACAAATTTGGGGACACTCAAACAAAAAATTCTCCAAACTTTTATATGTGACATTTGAATTTAGAAAATATAAAAATGTATGAAAACAACAATATTTTCAGAAAAAATGGAAAACATGAATTAAAAGTAAATAGATATGGGTTCTTAATATAGTCAGGAGAAAGACAATTAATTTTTCTATTCAAATCCATATGTGATTCATGCAAATATGTTGAATTTTGGTGTAAAACAAGAAACAAAAAGTTTGAAATAAAAAACTCTGATGACATGAATTAGTAGTGTTGTATGAACGGGTTAATTCATGTACGTAATTCTGAGAGCGAACTACGTTGTTCGAATGCCCGTCAGAACTTGGCATAATAGATATTGATTCGACCTGTAAATCGCATATATGACATATTTAGTTTTGGGAACTCTAATATGTGTCAAGAACATATGTCCAATAAATCTATTAAAGATTTACAGAGTATATACGTCAGTTGCCACGCAAAGAACTGAATCGACTTAATTTGGCTTTGGTATAATCTAAAACCTGCAAATACAAATTAGAATGAAACAAACATGAGCTGAACAAAATCCGTTACTCAATTTTCATTGACCTTACAGTATTTTGACAACTGACAGCCGATTAGACAAAAGTCGACTTAGTTAACCCTATACCCAAGTCGTCAACTGTCAATTCAGGCAGACCATAAGGATTAGAAGAACTGAAAAAAAAAATAAAAAAGTAAAAGAATTGTTAAAAATTAACTAAAACATCATGCAGGACGATGATGCGGAACATCTAAAGAATCAATTGACATTGGCTCGTAATGAAATTAATAAATTAAGGTAAGTTATACGAACAACAAACATGAAATCCTTTTATTGAAAATATCCTTTGTCTATCAATCGGTCGGTCGGTGCTGCTGCTGCTGCTTTTCGATGCTGAACAACCCACGCATTCCATATTCATAATTAATGGCATGCCATTAAATCGCACAACACAAAAAATTCACCGAACCGCAGACAACAAGTTCGCAACTTGCAACATAAACAAAAGAAGGACATCGATGATATTGCCCGTCTGTTAAAGAATTATCGCTGTGAAGGATGCCGCCAACGAGAGAACAATCATAATAGCAATGATGAGTGCATCTCGACAACAACAACCACCAGCACCAACAACGATGCGTCTACGACCTTGACCATCACAACAGATGTACAAAATTCGCCAACAACAAAAATTGAACAACAGTACCCCCAAACCAAGGTAAGAACAAAAACGTGTGTGGTGGCGGGGGCTTGGGTAGAAGGATTGCAATTGAATTTGAGTGGGTGTACGACGTACGTTCGTGTGTAAAAGCTAAAGTTGATTTAAACAACATCTTCCAGATGCGCGCACATTTATTTTTAGAACTCATTCATTCAGTATCTCCTTTTTTGTTTTGGGCTATTGTAAACTCCCACGTATTTTGGTCATCAACACCTACGGGTAACGAAGGATGTATTTGGTTTGTAAGGCGAGAAAGAACTAATAACCATAATTAAACTCTGATCATGATTATATTACAGTAGGTCCCACTGTTACATTATTTCATTCATAAACAGATACCGGCTTCGGCCGCAAATTTAAAGCGTGACCTTTGGACAGAACTCAACAACGGCAACATTATAAAAATCTGTTTTTTAAACTCTCCATCATAAGGTGGATTGTATATTAATTTTGCAATAATTCAAAATATTTCCCAGAGACCCCATTAAGTATATTCAACATTATAAAATCTGTTTTTTAAACACTCCATCATAAGGTGGATTGTATATTAATTTTGCAATAATTCAAAATATTCCCCAGAGACCCCATTAAGTATATTCTGGTGGCGATTTTCCCATGTCCGTCATCATAGGGATCGCAACAATTAATATTGAGCTTTTACATTTTGCACAGGCAATCCTGTTACTCCTAGGATGTTTGATATTGATACGTACTTTTATACGTACGTATTTTGAATATTTTAGTAACTTTGATTTCTCATCTGATGGCAAATCTGCCTACAAACAATTTTGAGTATCTACCTAGGTCTAGCGATAATCCTCAAGGTGAATTTTCCAAACTGAAATAGGGCATTCCCTGTTTTTGATGGGTAAACGACTTTTCCACAGAATTTTTCTTATAATGTAGGTCCCGCACATTTTCGGTATTTGGAAGTTCCTAGCCGAATTTTCTATACAGTATTTTTCGGTTAATTGACCCTACGGTTAATTGGTTTCCACGCTTAATTGAACCACATGATGGGGCAAAAAATATGTCATAGGAAAATACATGTAAATTTTGTCGGATAATTAAACTCTGTTAAATGATTTTCCCGCTTTATTGGTTTAAAATTCATGTCATCAAAAATAAATTTCCTTTTACTTTTCACCGGTTAATTTTTTTACATACATATTTGACATAATTTGTGAAAAAGACTAGGTGGCATATCTACTAATTCAAAACATATGTTTATTGCTAAAGAAAAACTGCGAGAAAGCGTAATTTTTAAATCATTAGTAGTTCCAATTATACGTGATTACTGTAATTGAACAAACTATTCAATTAAGCGGGTTCGGATAATGGTTCCTCGGTTAATTGAACAAAAATTTGTGCAAATTTTGATGTGCAATTAACCGAAAAATACTGTATTGTATTTTTCTATCGCCACTTGGTATTTCTTTTTCACACAAGGTTCCGACCGATTTTATTTCTTCTGAATGTTTACTTATCGTGTAATTTTTTATCGTTCTATTTGTTGCCTTAATACGCAATTTTTTATTTATATTCACCCAGGAAACATTTCGTCCTATCGGTTTGATACGCACCTGCTTTCCGGAGAAACGTGCTGTACCACGACAATCCAGTGTTGGCGGCCGTTTACGTGGATTAATTGAATTAAATGCCGACGTGTTTACCAATCCCGAACACGCATTGGATGGCCTCGAAGAATATTCTCATCTATGGATTATTTATCATTTCCATAAAAATAATTCTCATCCAAAGGCAAAAGTTGCTCCGCCACGTTTGGGCGGTGAAAGAGTTGGTGTTTTTGCAACACGTTCCCCACATCGTCCCTGTCCCATTGGTCTCTCCCTAGTGGAGATTGAAAGAGTTGAGGCTGCCTCGATAAGTTTCTTTGGTACCGATATGGTTGATGGTACTCCAGTTTTGGACATCAAACCCTATATACCATTTTATGATTCTCCGATTACTGAGAGTGGTCGCCTCTCCACTGGACCTGGTGAACCAACTACAACATCTGATTTTTATAATTTTCGCCAAGAACCAGACGGCGAAGAATCTGAAATGGAAATTATGGGTGCTGCATCTCTTGCTCAGACACCGGTAAATTTTAGCAATCACTATACACCACCACCGCAAGCTGTTAAAGTACCCTCATGGGTGACAGCTGCACATCGTTTAAATGTCAGCTTCAATGACCGGGCCGAAGTCCAATTGCAATCTCTGCGTATACAGAAACAGTGTATAATTGATATTTTGGAAGCAGATCCACGCTCTGTATATTTGCGCACCAAATATAATTCTCAAATTTTTACATTCCAATTGAGTGAAGTTACGGTGACATGTAAATTTGATGATAAGAATTCTACGGTCACAGTGTTGCAGATACGACCCACGGAACATTTGCAGGATGTTAATAATGATGTAACCACAAATAATGTCCATGCCAGCCATGGTTATAATGGTGTTGGAGGCGGAGGAGATGATAACAATGAGTAGGTGGTGAAACAATTTTTTGAGGCAAATACAACAAATAGAAAACCCCCTCCCCCCAGCAAACATATAATGCTTTAATATGTTTATATAAAAATAAAATGTTTTAGAAAATTGAAATCTATTGGAAAATAATGACAAAGTCAGCAGTTCTTGTTTGCAAAATTTACAAAAACAAAAAGTTTTACAGCTTAATATTTTTATCTTTGAATGAATAACTAAATAAGAGATAATTTTCTAATAATAATTTAAATTAATTTATTTATGCATTTATGTATATGTACCACGTACAAATATAATTAGTTATATGATGACTATATGTATTAATACATATATATTTATTTATATATTTTTAATTTTAATCAATTATTTTGCAATATAAATATTCTGCTCATTTGAAAAAAATTGTTTAAACTGAAAGCAAAGCTATAAACATTAAATAAATATGAGTTGAAATTATTCATATACATATATTATACATACAAAGTGGAATATTTCTCCTGCAGGTTATCAAGATGGTATTCTAATTCCATTCAAGCTCCAGTATTACTCCAGGTTTGTACTTTTAACCTGGGATGAAAACACGTTATATGCCGGCTGCATATAACGTTATATGCAGCTGCTTCAAAAAAGGATCAGCATTCTTGTCTCCTCATGAAAATGATTCACGTTCGACATTTGAACATGTGGTTGCAATCCTTAAGACGTTATTTTGGATAGTTTGCAGGTCAGGTCACCACCTACTCAGGGCGTCATACATCACAGATGGCTTTCTACCGGCAATTTAACATTTTCCCAAAAAAGCGGGACAATTTTAATTACATATGGTGATAACATATACATGCCCCCAATAATAGGCCAATCCAAGTTTTAGTTGCTTTTCAATATATTCTTAACTAAATTTATTCAAAATTTAACATGTTTATGAATTATTTAACTGACAATATAACCAACCCATATGGCAACATTGAATTTGCTACAGCTGTTGTAAACAAGCTCTTTGAATCAGCTGTTACCGTCAGCTGTTTGATCCCCTGAACAGCTGATATTGTTGTCGGAGCAAGCCTAATCGGTCGATTTGTTTTGATTCCCCTATTCGGCCCGATTTTCGACCTTAGAGACACTAATCCTAATCGGTGTTTATTTTGATTCTGACTTTTATCAGTTACGTTTTGACTCAATTTCGACAAATTCCACAACGCCGTCAAAACTTTAGAAACGGCATTGTACTTTTTAACTAACTTTTTTTTCATTCGAAAGCACGCCACGCCAAAATAAAATAAAAATAAATTCAACAGATAAGAGAGGATTAATAATTAAATAATTAAATCCAGTGATATGGCGTACCTAACCTGGTCTGAGTTTTGTAAAGAGTCGCAGGAATTTTTGGAAATGTCGAAGAAACTAAATGATACATGGAGCTGGGAAGAGAAGGTAAGTAGAAACAAGAATGTTTTTAAGTTCGACGGACTGAACATTTGATACCCTACCCGGGTAGTCAACACAAATTCATGAATCTACATTGGAAATTGACTATCAGAAGGGTTATTCTCTGAAACCCCGAAAGGAAGTTATGGTGGTAAGCGAAGGAAAGTGAACAAGTAAAAATGTCGTTAAGTTCGGTCGGTCGAAAATATAATACTCTACACGGGAAGGGAATACTACTTGGGTCTTACATTGATCTGTAGAAGGGTTATTATTCTGTGAAATCCCGAAATGTTTGAGCTATCAAAATCGTCGTTAATATCAGCTGGGCCTATCATTTTATACGCTTCACCACGACATGGGTCTTCAATTTATCTAAAATATATGGCGGCCTATGTTTCCTTGGTCCAAATCCATTTCAGACAATTTGGAGCAGATTTGCTCGAAGGGTTTAACCGATTTCATCCAAACTTTGCAAATCGTAATATTGTTTAAGTTCTAAGATGGAGAATATCAATCCACTCTTTCTAGTACCTCCCACACAAAATTGTCAAAATTCCGTTATAAACCAAACTTGGCACAACCTAATATTCAAAGGGTGAACATTTTTATAAATTCAATATTAAGCGACTGGAATGTCCAATTTGACCCGAAATTTACACATCGTAATATTTGTATCAATTCTTGATCAAGTCCGAAGATGTGACTCATCAGTCCACTCCTTCTAGTACCTCCCCTAAAAGTGTCAATATTTTGAAAATTTGTTAATTTATTATGAAACTAATGGAACGTTCGATTTGATCCTTGATCGTGTCCGAAGATGGGACCCGTCTTGTACTTCCGCAACAATTGGTCAAAATTGTAGGAATTTCTTCCATGCGAATGCAAAGTCCGAGTCGGCCCAAACTTCACACATCGCAATACTATTACTAAACCTAGATAATGTTCGAACATGGGACCCATAGATCCACTCCTTCTGGTAACACACTCAATAACATTTAAACCAATATTTCTACCTCAACAGCAACACCTCCACAGATGGTCAAATATTTCATAAAACCATTAGGCTGGAGGTATACAGGGTGAGATAAAAAACACAAAGTCGAACGCCATAATTTTTACATTTTTTAATTTTATTGAATGAAAGCAAAAAATGTTGGAAATAGCATACAATTTTAGAATAAGTTTAAATTTGTTCGAATTGGTCAGCTTTGGCACGATTTATGGCCTTCAATGGAACCGTCACACGCTGCCCAAATGTTGCTCTGCGGAATTTGGCCCATTGCAAAGTGATCGAAACTTTGGTATTTTTTAGTGCCAACCTTGCTTTCCAAAAAACTCCAGACACAAAAGTCCAACGGATTGGTATCCGCAGATTTTGGGGGCTATGTGCGCTGGAAATGAAGCGAGAAGCCTCATTTTGGGGCTGAGTCCTGTTGGAATGTCCAAGGTCTGCGACCAAAATGTTTGCGTGTTCAAGACTTTAATACACCCTCCAGAATATTTCCGAGTTCGGCATTTATTCTGATGCCACGGTTGATTAGTACTAGTGGAAAACGACCATCGGCAGTTCACCACTTTCGGCCAAGCGAAGCAACTCTTTGGATCTTTTGAGTCTACTTTCTTTCTGTTGCGGTGTAAGTTCTTTTTGGAATTTCAATGGCTTTACCCCGAGCTAATTTTTCAATATTTGCCGATTGGAATATTGGTATATGTTATTTTCTTTTCTCTTCCAGAACTCCAACGAGGGTCAGTCATACTTAAAATATAAACAAAAAATCTCCGATCCCCTGTCGCAAGATTTAATACAACTCGAATATCACATAGTATATTCAATATCATATCAGGTGCCCATAATGTATTTCCAAGCCCATTACAGTGGTATGTAAATATTCCTTTATTTCCAGTAAACGATTTAATTTAAATTGTTATTTTTTATCTTCCAGATGGCAAAATGTTAACTTTGGACAATGTTTGGCAACTTTTTCAATTTCAACAAAAAGATTCGCAATATTCACGGGAAGATATGCTAAGCATTTTAACACAAATGGAACATCCGATATTATTTAAACCATATATGTGTTTACACCCATGTCGGACAGCAGAGGTGCTAGAACAAACTCCGACAAGTAAAAATCGCATATTAACATTTATTAGCGTAATGGGTCCATATTTGAAGCTGGATTTAGATAATACATATGGTTTAATGTGCGAAGAAGGAAAATCATGAGAATAATACGGAAAACAAGTTATGGAATATACTTGTTAGAACAGAGAGATATGAAACACGTCCTTCATAGACGTCTATATCCTTCATAGAAATCTATACATAATATCACCAGTATAAGACACAACCTAAGACATTTATTTGGATATTGTGTTCAAGATTGTATTTTCTCAGTTTATTTGAAATCCCTCTAAAAAAATTGTTTCAAATAATGCAATGGGAAGACAAGTTTGTATTTATTTAAATATTACAATATATACATCTTTATACTGACAGGAGGCCATGTTGTTTTATTCAAATCCATAAATGTCATGTTTATAGTAATGCCGTTTTAGAAATAAAAGTATATTAAAAAAAGTTGCGGGAACTATTTCAAAACATAATTCGATATTAAAGACTTTCTGTCAAAAGGTTTGTACCATCCTCTGAAACTCCGAGATTTCTACTAAAGCCACATCAGCTGAAGAACCATAAAATTACTAAAACGTGGTAGCTTTACATGGATGAGGAATGTTACGTTTAAAGAAGAAGGAAGTTCTTTCTTTACCCTCCAACAACACGGCTTTTTAAAACCGCAATATTCCAAATTATCCGCAAAGATGTATTTCAACCTCTAACAAGGCCCTCACTCTCAAAACGTTCATCGAATATGGGTCGGAGCCGTAGTTATATGGACGCAATAAACGCGGGCCAATATATTCCATATATCATATCCCATATAGTAGGACCCGACGAATACTTCAAAGTTAATAAAATTAATCAGTTCACTTTATTTGATGATGATATACGCAGATCATATTATATTTTTTGAAATCTAATATGAAAACCTGTCGCCACCCACCCACATGATGATTTTTGCCATTTTTCAAAATCTTATTTTTCATAGGTTTTTTACATACCAGGATGAGGAATGTTACGTTTAAAGAAAAAGGAAGTTCTTTCTTTACCCTCCAACAACACGCACAGATTACAGCGATATCTTTAGAAAAATGCGCCTAGAAGCTTTTTTAAAACCGCAATATTCCAAATTATCTGCAAAGATGTATTTCAACCTCTAACTAGGTCCTCACTCTCAAAACGTTCATCGAATATGGTTCGGAACCGTAGTAGTATGGACACAATAAACGCGGGCCAATATATCCCATATATCAGTCAAACGTCCTAAGAGTAGTAGTAGGACCCGACGAATACTTCAATGTTAATGAAATTAATTATTATTAATCAGTTCACTTTATTTGATGATGATATACGCAGATCATATTATATTTTGTGAAATCTAATAATGAATGTGTATTTTTTTTACATGCATAATCTACCTGTCGCCACCCACCCACATGATGATTTTTGCCATTTTTCAAAATCTTATTTTTCATAGGTTTTTCAAAATCACATACCAGGATGAGGAATGTTACGTTTAAAGAAGAAGGTAGTTCTTTCTTTACCCTCTAACAACACGGACAGATTACAGCGATATCTTTAGAAAAATGCGCCTAGAAGCTTTTTTAAAACCGCAATATTCCAAATTATCTGCAAAGATGTATTTCAACCTCTAACTAGGTCCTCACTCTCAAAACGTTCATCGAATATGGTTCGGAACCGTAGTAGTATGGACACAATAAACGCGGGCCAATATATCCCATATATCAGTCAAACGTCCTAAGAGTAGTAGTAGGACCCGACGAATACTTCAATGTTAATGAAATTAATTATTATTAATCAGTTCACTTTATTTGATGATGATATACGCAGATCATATTATATTTTTTGTATGTGTATTTTTTTCACATGCATAATCTGCCTGTCGCCACCCACCCACATGATGATTTTTGCCATTTTTCAAAATCTTATTTTTCATAGGTTTTTCAAAATCACATACCAGGCGACCATAATTTTATAGTAAGGATCATGTTCACTTGTTTTCTGGTTTGCTTTCAACGCCAACATCAATGACAAAGCCTAACTCAAAGGCATTTATTTCACAGGCGCCTGAAAGTATGCTTTGATTTTTTCTTACTTACTTTACTTTATCAAGTGGAGAGTTGTGTGAATGAGTGAGGGTCAAAAAGAAATCTTTTTGGAAAATAAATTGCTACACAATTCTGTTCGCCTGGTTGTTAAAATTATTTCCATAAAGAAACTTTTCAATTTGAAATTTTCGTATTTTTTCCTCGAAACTCACACGCACACATATAAATAAATATGCATGCATGAACAGATTGATGATGCATGTATGTAATTTATTTCAAACATATGCACTCACCATTCACCCCCATAACCAAATAATAAAACAATATTTTTTCTATTTTGCTTGTATGTACATGTTTTATTGAAGTTATTTTTTATTTAATTTTTATTCACTATAATGTTTTTTATTTAATTACTATATTTAAATATTTATTAATTAATAATTTAATGGATTTTCATGTTTTTTGCATTGTTAAGTTATTTACGATATGGTTATAATTTTTTTTTTAAATTTTACTAAATATTACTACATTTAGTTTTTAGTTTTTTTTATATACTACATAGAGCTCTATAGATACATAAGTTATATATAATTAAATCAATAATTAATTTATTTACTAAAGCGGCTGCAAATATACAAGTTTTCTTCGTCAATAGTTTTGTGTTTTTCTTAATTTTTTAATAGACTTTGCCTTACAAGTTTAATATTATAATTAGTGTTAACTCCTACTGTGGTTTACTCCATGACTTTTGTTTGTCACATATTTGGTTTAGGAATATTGACTAGTCATGAAATATGCATTATACAAATTTTGGGTTTTAGGTTTTTTTTTATATATGCAAATGGCGTTGTATATATAGAATAATATGTAAAGCAAAAGAGGAAACTAGTTTTAAAAGAAAATGCTTTTTATTTTTCTACAAAGGAAAACAATTATTTTTAAAATTAAAATCTGTTTAATTTTTTAAATATAAAAAATCATGAAATTAATAGATTTTTTATTATGAGAAATTAACTACATTTTTTAAATATATATATATTAAAAAATAAAGAAAAGTTAATTTGTTCCATTTTTTTTTAAACTAAATAACTCTAATAAGAAGTACATACATACATATATATTAAGAAATAAATAAAGGAAAAAATTAATTGTTTTTTTCTGCTTTTTTATTTAGCCTAATATGATTATAATTTCTAATAACGTAATACATACAAGAAGGAACTATCATATAGCTTTTTTAATAAGAAATTTTGAATAAAAAAAGAAGAAAGCTGATTCTGTAGAAATCGTTTATAAATGTAATTTAAAAGCTATACAATATAAAATAAAAATATGCATTATACAGAATTTTTTATTTTTAAAAATTAAAAAAAAATAAAAATTAAAAAAACATATTTATATTTAAAAAATTTTAACAGAAAAACCCTATTAAAAAAATTGATTTTTTTAATACGAAATTTTGAAACGTAGCTTATTAACTGAAAACACACGAAAACTATACAGTGTTTTGATAAAATATATTACGTTTCTTTAATTTTCACAAAAAAAAAAAAAAACGAAATTATAATTATTAAAAAAAGTATGTAAAAACAATTATTTTATATATAATAAAAATATATTAATAAATAATATTTCTAGCTGTGAAAAACAATCACATTTATCTAATAATTTATTGCAAAAACATAATTTATTATTTTTATTCTATTATATATATTTTTATGTCTAATATATATTTTTTATTAATAATTTTTAATATTTTTTATTAGTTTTTTTTTTTTTCTAAATATAATATATATATATATATTTATTTGCTATATATATATTTTTTGACATAAATATTTATTTACAAAAAATAGAATATTTTATTTCTTTTTTCAAAATTCTTCATTTGTCTATAATATAATTTGTTTAAAGCTGCACCATTTTCTTTGTCTTTTGATATAAATATCATGTGTTTTAGTTTATATTTTATTTTTTTTTTAATAAACTACATTTTATTAGTTTGTCGATTTTTGAAAAAAAATATTTTTTTTTACAAATATATGTTATAATATTTTATGTTCCATTAAATTTATATAAAGATAAAATAATATATAACCAATCGATCGGTTACATACTATTTCGATAAAAATTTTCCAAAATACAAGTGTAAAAATCCACGTCTATAGCTGTGCCTTTTAAATATTCTTTCCTCACCAATGCTGTGGGTTGATTCACTATCAAATTTAAACAATTCTCAAATCGATAAAATATTATAACGACAAAATAAACAATTGGTCTGTTCCCGTACTACAAGAATCTACGGAAACAGACCAAATATTTTACTTCTATAACACCAAATTTTTCGAAGTTAACTTATCGACAAATATTTTTCAATATTGAACATGCCTTGTTTTGTTCTGAATTTGTATGTATTTTGTTTTCAAAATGTTGAAAATTAAAAGCTTTTTGATAGTTTATCGACAATTTGTTTACATTTTTGCAGAATAACATTTTCGTTACTGCAAACGATTTTATGTGTAGACAAAATTGTCGGATCGTTAAAAGTTACTGAATCGACCTGTAGGCCTATTCTGTAACTTTTAACAACATTCGATATAGCTCAACTTTCTTTTGAAATTGTTGTAAAATAGACAATATCGAATGTTGTTAAAAAGTTGCAGAATACAGGGGTTGGTCTTGAAAAAATATTCTTTAAAAATCCTCACCAATGCTTGTCTTGAATATCCTTAAAAAATTCACGATTAGGAATAATCCAAAATATGTGGAATTTTTTGCAAACCTTGGCAATGGTTTATCGCCAGCGCCATATATGATACCCTAATCATAAAAATGTATTTGATAGTTCCAAAGTTATGGCAAGAAGAAAACATTATTTAATGGTTTGAATCATACCAATCAATAGATGGCGTTGACGATGAATCATTGCCAGGGTTGACATGCTACTAAAAAATTATATTTATATTCACTTTGGCATAACTTTAGAACTATTAAAGATATTTTCATGAAGTTGCTGTCATATGAAAGATATAAAGACAACATTTAATTTTTATGTATTTTAAATATTTTCAACAACAAAAAATTACCACGAAAAATTTGAAATTTAATTTAAAAATGAGATTTTTGGCTTAAAAATATATTTTTAAAGATTTGTAAGAAAGGATATTTTTTTACCTTTCATATGACACCCATATCATAAAAATATATTCAATGGTTTAAAAATTAGGGCAAAAAGGAAAACAACATTCAATGTTTGTATTGACCTATTTGAATGATGCCGATCAATAGATGGCGCTGACGCTGCTACTAAAAAATTATATTTATATTCACTTTGGCATAACTTTAGAACTAATAAAGATATTTTCATGAAGTTGGTGCCATATGAAAGGTAAAAAGACAACCCTATACTTGTATATTTAAATATTTTCAACAACAAAAAATTGCGATGAGAAATTTGAAATTTCACTTAAATATGAGATTTTTGGTTTAAAAACATTATTTTTTAAAATTTGTATTGTAAGAAAGGATGCAAATGCAATGCAAATTTAAAAAATATTTTTTAAACCAAAAATCTAAATATTTTCAACAACAAAAAATTACCACGAAAAATTTTAAATTTAATTTAAATATGAAATTTTTGGTTTAAAAAAAATATTTTTTTTAAATTTGCATTTTAAGAAAGGATATTTTTTAACCTTTCATATGACACCCATATAATAAAAATATCTTCAATAGTTTAAAAATTATGGCAAAAAGAAAACCACATTCAATGTTTGTATTGACCTATTTGAATGATGCCGATCAATAGATGGCGCTGACGCTGCTACTAAAAAATTATATTTATATTCACTTTGGCATAACTTTAGAACTATTAAAGATATTTTCATGAAGTTGAAGGTAGAAAACGACACTAATTTTTTATGTATTTCAAATATTTTCAACAAGAACAAAATTTCCATAAGAAATTTGAAAAGTTTTTTTAAAAAATGAGGTTTTTGGTTTTACAAGAGATATTTTTTAAAATTTATACTTTCTTGAGAAAATTACAATAATCAATTTTTTATTGAATTTTTGAATATGAAATGTAGTATTAAAGTATTCTAAAAGTACGTTTACATTGTATCGGATTTGGTTAACCCAGTGGGTTCAAATTGTCAATTCCTTTGAATATATGCCAAATTAATCCTCATAAAGTAGGTTAACCCGGTAAAAAGTTCTAATGTAAATGCCGTATAAAATAGTAAATAACATTATGTACTCTTTCATTACAGAAAATAAATATTCAAATTAAAAAAAAATGTTATCAAATAATATTGATGTAAATTTGATTACGATTTTTACCTTTATAACTATTAATATTATTTGCATAATTTTTAATAAATAATGTTTTCTTATAAATATATTTGAAGACTATTTTGCGTACATACTAGTTATTTATACAATTATTATTTTTTTTAATATAATATTTTTGTTGTTGTTGTATGGAATAACCCATACAAATAAATGTTATATTTTTAATTTTAGTTGTATATGTTAACTTGTTTTGTGTTTGTGTTTTTTCTTTTAGAGGGTGAATCTTTTTTTTGGAATTTTCTTTTTTCTTCTTGGGTTTGTTTTTAATATATCGTTCTTAATAACCTATCTTTAAAATAAATTTCATTTAGATTTCATTTATTTGGTCTCATTTTTTGCAGTTACATTTTAATTAGTGTTTTTGTTAATATTTTTTTTTAGATTATTTAAATAATTTATACATATATATATATATTATATATTTTTTATTTTTTTGAATACATATACAACAGTAAGCAACAATAAATGTTTAGCAAAAAATATCGAGTATATATATATATATATATATATATATATATGTAAATATATATGTACAAATTTTATATATAAATATTTTTTGTGTTGATTTTTCTATAGTTAACATTTCTTTAATTTCTAATTGTTTATTTGCGATTGTTATACTAAACAATGAATACAAATTAAATACATAAAAAAGGAAATATTATATAAATAAAAGAAACTGAAATAAAAATAAAACAATTAACAATGTGTTGATTAACCACACTTTTTATACAAACCAAAACTTTTTATACACCGTAAATTTTTCAAACTCTGAAAAATTCTGCCAGATTACTCTGCTTCATTTTTTCCCTGGACTCTTTATTTCAATTCCATATTATGAAATAATATTTTGACAAGTAGGTATTTAATCCATCATTAATTGAGAATTCGAAATGTCAATTGTTCGATTGAATCCATTAGAACTAAAAGCGAATTCCGGACATTAACTGAAATCTAGATAAAATTGAAGGTATAATAAATATTTATTAAAATTATAAAAAATAATAATAAAAATTAAAAAAGTAAAAAAACGAAAGAAAATACATTTAATATTTTGTTTTATTTTTTTTATAACAATAAATAACTTATTTAATATCAACGACTTATAAATAGAAAAAAGGCAATTTATTTACATCTAATTTTTTGGTGCTATTGTTTTCTCTACGGAATTTGAAATGATTTTTGGAGATTCATTATCAAATATTGGAGGTTCAAAAAGTGCCAGGCTAGAAATTTGGACTGTAAAATATTATTTATTTATTTTTTTTAAGTCACATTTTCTATTTTCAACTCCATGGTTCCCAATAAAATCTCCAACGATTTTCCGTAGAGAAAATAACAGCTTCCATTTTTTTCTCTTAAGTCACAGATACAATAAAATAAATTTACACATTTTTTTTTTTGGTTTTGAAAAAGCCATTTCAAACAATTTTACACATTTTTCTTTTTTCTAATATATAAAAACCATTTCAAAAAATTTCTCTAAGCGTATTTCTTAATTTTCTAATAATTTTCAAAAAAAAAACTTCTTCATTACTAAAAATTTGTTGTTCTAATATTTGACTAAAATTGTTCTACTACTACAAGTTGTTGCCGACTAGCCACTTCTCCCATTTCAAAAAGAGGGGGAATTAGTTTTTGAAATTTTTTCCCTCCTCATAGCTTCTATTTTTTCAATTTTCCATTGGTTTTTTTTTGCGATCAATTAAAGCTTTTCTAGTGTTCTTTGGACGGTGGTTTCTGTAACATGTGTTGGCGTTGTTGTGGTCGATGTTCCTGCCATCATCATTGTGGCAGTCGTTGCTACCGCAGCCGGTGCTGGCATTGCTGGTGCTGCAGTAAAATGTTCACGCAATATGGCACTGGTCGAGGCACTACGCCGAAATCAACTGCACAGCATATTAAAGAAACCTTTGCCTTTTTCGGAACGTGGTGCCATTAGCATAGGAACTTGATTTTTATGGGTGACTTTGATCTGTAACAGAAGAGAGAAGGCAATGAGATTTTAAATGATATACAAACGAATGATTATTGTAAAAAAAATAAGGAACAATAGGAACAGATGGGTTGGTGATTATTAACAGCTGATTAGGTGTTTATCAAATAGCTGAGCTGATAAACATCTTATCAGCAGCTGATCAGGTAACCATCAACAGCTATGTTGGTGAAGATTAACAGCTAAGTTGGTGAAGATCAACAGCTGAGTTGGTGAAGATCAACATCTGACCTGGTGAAAATCAACAGCTGAGTTGGTGAATATCAACAGCTGAGCTGGTGACTATCAATAGCTGAGCTGGGCAATATCACAAGTTGACCTGGTGAACATCAACAGCTGAGCTGGTCAACATATACAGTGGAGCTGGTGAATATCAAAAGCTGAGCTGGTGAATAGCAACAGCTCAGCTGGTGAATAGCAACAGCTCAGCTGGTGAATAGCAACTGGTGAATATCAACAGATGAGCTGGTGAATAGCAACAGCTTAGCTGGTGAATATCAACAGCTTAGCTGGTGAATATCAACAGCTTAGCTGGTGAATATCAACAGCTGGGCTGGTGAATGGCAACAGCTGGGCTGGTGAATGGCAACAGCTGGGCTGGTGAATATCAACAGCTGAGCTGGTCAACATATACAGTGGAACTGGTGAATATCAAAAGCTGAGGTGGTGAATATTAAAAGCTGAGCTGGTGAATAGCAACAGCTGGGCTGGTGAACGTCAACAGCTGAGATGGTCGATATCAACAGCTGAACTATTGAACATCAACAACTGAGTTGGGAAACATCAACAGCTGAGTTGGTGAATATCCAAAGCTGGAATTTTGAAAATTAGCAGCTAATGTGATAAAGATCAACATATGAACAGCTGAGTTGATGACTATCCACAGTTCTGTTGGGGTTCGAAAGTTCCAAAAATTTCCCTCATTTTCTAAGGAATTTTAATTTACATCTTCAAACTTACCGTGCAGGGTTGTTGCATCCAAGGTTCACCATCAATTTGCATGGGAAATGTTTTGCGTGTCTTTATGATTACCTCACTGCACTGGGCCAGGCGGCGGCCAGAGGCACGCAGACCAGTACGGACCTGGCCCATGTGCAGGCAATTTTCAAGGCCAATAACTTCAATTAAACGGTCGCCAAAATCTACAATGAAATGGTATACAAATTAATAATTATTTTCAGAGGTTTTTTGTTTGTTATTTCACACCCACCTTGTATGGCCACCGAAAGATCTCCGGAGGTAAAGCTAGTTGTCGACAGCTCCTTATCCGATGATTTCAGTTTCTTGCCCTTTCGAAAAGGTCCAGTACTTTTGCGTATACGTTTTTGGGATAGATGTTCACCCCATAAGTTAGAACCGCCATGGGTATAGGGAATGTTAAGTAAGGCAATACCCTGTAAATGTGGTCCATTGGCTAAATCCAAGGAAACACCATCACACTATGCAGAGAAAGGGCAAAAAAGAAATTCGTTATTCTATTTATATGTATATATTTTAAACTTAATTATGCTGAGGCATGACAAAAACCCAAAATTTATATTCCCAAAAAATGTATATTTCTTAACGAGGTCATTTATTTAGGATATATTTTTATTTTTTTTTCGGTACCCTTAAGAGCCTCATTTGTAAGCGAAATAACAAGTTCATTGTGGTTTCCATTCACTTGAATATTTCTTGTCTTGCTTATCACCCCCAAAAAAGATGCCACAGCACGTTCTTGTACTTACAAATATTTCAATATTCTCATGAAGATTTTTACAAGATGCGGCAAACGTTTCCGATGTTGCGTATTCAAAATACCAGAGTTTATTTTTCATGCGGCTGTTGAATTTATGCGGATTCTTTTCACGTTCCAAATGAAATTTAACACAAATTGCGGCATCCTGTGGAAGAGCAAGAGAGATAGATAAGGAGTGTAAGATAAAGTAATGTAGAAATCCAGAACCAAACAAAAAACAGACAATGATAATAAATTCTAATTAAGCAGGCCTAATAAAAATTTAATTAGAAATATTGTTGAGCAGTTTCTCCTTTTAAATTTAAATTAATTGCCTAAATGGGTGTTGATTCGGGGAATTAAGTTGATTTAAAGTGTAATTTAATATGCATGGGCAATAAAATTATTGCAAATGTAATTATCAAAAATTCAATATCATTGTGAATGAATATGGTGCGTATACGTGTTGTCAACACTTATACGTATACATATACACAGTAAGAAATTCGCTCTTAATTAAAAAATAATAAGACAAAATAAGTGAAAAAAATAATATTAACAAAATTAAATGGAAGTGTAAAGAGAATTTAGCTACCCAAACCTTTTTTGTTTAACCACTATGGTCAGCCTATTATTTCCCACATACAGCAGCTGCAGAAGATTTGTGGTTGCTTGTGTTGAGATTTTATGACGCATACAAGGGCAAAACTCACCACAGATCAAATTCTATTATTAGAACAAATAGTTTATTGATAAGTATTTTGCGTTTGAGATTAGGCTAAGCAAGAGTTGTTTAAGTAGTACCTAAGAATAAATATTTTACAATAAAATCAGTGCCTTACAAACACTCAAAAAGAACGGTCGGGTCGCCGTGTCGTGTCTTGATTTATTATACAGATTAGCTGTGGCTGTCTGAATATTTGTTGGTCCTTCGTAAAAATTTAGTAAGAGACTCAATTGAACCACCAAAGTCGTGGCTGCAAATACGACATAGTGAAACTTATAAAAAAATACAACAGCAATTTTTAGTGAGGAACTCAAAAATTGCTAGGTTTTCGGTTCGACGAGGTGAAGAGTTTTTTATTAAAAAAAATGGAGAACGAGTTAGATTTTTCCATAGAGTCTTTTGAAAAAAGACTTGATGAGAAGAAGAGAACAAGAATGTTTAGGCGGTTTAATAGAGGTGCGCAGGAGTTAAACGCCATGTGTGCATATTTTACGGAAAGAATACCCTTCCGGCCAGAAGGTCTACTGAAGGAATGGGTCAATATTATTCAACACATGTTGGCTGAACTCAAGCAACTTGAATTCGAAATTAAGGATGAAAAATTAAATTTAGAACTGGAGCAGGTGACACAAATGTGTGAAAACATTGTAAAGGAAGTGAATGGTATCAAACGGGATTATCTGGAGTTCTATTGTCCGATCTACGCCAAGAACATTCAAATTTATGATTTTGCATTGGAGGAAATATACAATGAAGCCGACTACGTAATTGAGCGATGCGACGACGTGAAAAAAGAATTGCCCGAAATGTCAAAAGAAAAAGTCCTATCCGAAATGGAATATTTCAAGGCAATTTATATGGAAATCAGAAAGTTGATTCCCAAAAATTCAAATGTGGACTTTTCTAAAGATATGTTCTTCAAATTGAATCGTATGGAGGACATATACTTTGATGTAAAGGAGGATCTGTGTAATAAGCTGGAACCCTCCAATGATATGTTGGTGCCCTCGGGAAGCCCTCACTTTGGAGGGAAAATGCATTTAAACGGAAGACCCCTGAAGAAGACACATGAATTAGAAACAGATGACTACGAAAAACAGAAAGAAGAAATCCTGCAGTTTAAAGTAGCAGAATCTATGGACCGGGTTATGAAAAAGAAAGAGTTGCTATTTACCAGCTAACAATTATTAGTTCTAATGGTAGTAATTTCGATTATGAAGCTGCGTTGATAGGCTATAGTCTGTGATACTTATCAGCTGTTTATATTTATTTGATCAAGTGTTGATATTCATCAGCTGATGGGATTTTAAGTTCACATTTTGAAGGTTCAACTGATCAGCTCAGCTATCTACATTCCAAATCATATCTATTTGTATTCATCCGATTTGTTGTTAGTCCACAGTTTATATCCAGCAAATATCGACAACATTGTTTCTCACAAAGTTTAATTGTCTTCCTATTTAAAAAGAAATCTCTATTGTTATTTCCCTGGCTGCAGTAAATCGTTTCCCCATATTCATTGGCGGATCTATGTTTATACACATGTGACTCACATTACTATGTGGATACGACAATAAATCGATTTAATCTTTACCAAACAATTTCCTACCTAAATTTGTCTCAACTTTATCCTAAGAGCATCCTTTAACTGTTAATATCCTTTCGCAAATGTGTATTTTGTTTGGAGGTAGGAGGAGTTGGAGTGTGCTGGAGGTGGCATGTCAAAATGTTTTCCTTAAATCTTTACAACCACATTTGTCATTTAACTTTTTGTGCCGGGGTATATTCACACCCTATACCTATGTTTTCGCCTCCAGAGTAATTAGTCAATTTATTTAAGACTTTCGAGAGAGAGACGAAGAAGAAAGTGTTAAAGCGTAAAAATGTTTTAACTTTTCAAAAAAAAAATGTTCAGACGAAGTTTCAACCGAAAACACTCCATAACATGAATGAATCGCTGGCTGACTGGTGGCAGGCACCAAGGCACAAAAGAACAAACCAAAATCGAAATGTTTAGAATTACTTTAGGGTATAATAGCTTATCAGCATCCTCTTCATCGGTATCACCGTCGTAGTCGTCATCATCATCAACTTTATTGTCAGGAACACAACGTTTGAAGGCCACCCAACCCCATCTTGAGTTGGTGCTGGGGCATAGATAAGTTGGGCAAAAGGAGAAAAAGTATTTTGTTTTATCCCTTAGGGAAAGGTAGATATTGTGAACGTGGGTTAGGTAGTAGCTTTGTTGTTAGGTGTACTCTTGAATTGATTCTTGTTTTTTCCATGGCGGAGATAGATGTAGGCTCCACTCCTTGGCTTTATTAGGTTTTACTTCCTTCTTTTTTGCTTTCTTTCTTTTTATAACCGTATCTAATTTAGGCAATGAAAATCAAGTGGAAAATAAATGTCTTTTGGGAGATGGTTTTAAATACGTTATGGTCCCATAAAGATGCCAATTACATGGCACAGAATAAACTGGGATTTGTTTCGAATTTCCGCAAACAAATTGTTTAAGAAAATTAAGGTAAGATTTAGAGGGAAATACTATGGGTTATAAATACTAAGACTATAAAGACTAGTTTTAACTAGGAAATTGGGCAGAGCTAAGCTGTTTTAAAATTAAAACTATTTTAATTTTATTTCGATATTTAATGTCTACCCCGAATATAGTATTCTTTTTTTCTTATAACCCATATTATTTCCCTCTAAACTTTAAAAAATTACCTTAATTTCCTTAAACAATTTGTTTGCGGAAAATCAAAACAAATCCAAGATCTCTGTGGCTATTCACTAGGTCCAAATGTGGAAGAATATTCAACCATCACAGCAATCCTCATTCATCCTTATTCGTCTATATAATAATCAATACAACCGATTATATATATCCAGCTCAGATGTGAGAATTTACCCTGCTAAAAGTGACTACACAACTATCTCAGCAGTTGGCAATTCACCCCAGCTCAGCTGTTGATATTTATCAGATCAGCTGTGAACATACCTAGCTATGCATTGAGTCTTCAAAACAAAAACATATGTTTTTTAATTGATCATCTGTCAAATTGTAAGATTTGTCATGGTTGGCAACATAGCTCGTAGAATTCAAGTAGAAACTCACGATGCAATAATAAGGTGATGTATCAAAATAAAAACCTTTGTTTTTGTCTCGACCATCTGTCAAATGTTTCCTTATATTATTTCACATGGTTGGCAACACTGCACATCGAATTCAAGTAGTAATTACACACTTTGACAGTTATTCGAGTCATCAGCTGCGCTAAATGGATTACCTATTTATGGTGGGATGCATTTGACAAATACCAGCTCAGCTGTTTATATTCAATAGATCAGCTGTTCGTATTTCTATCCTTTAAATTCAGCAGTCTTTTACCAAGGTCAGATGTTAATGTTGTACTCATTTGACACTATTATCCAAGCTCAGCTGTTAATATTTATTAAGTCAGCTCTTAATATTCATTATGCCAGCTGTTTATTTAATCAGCTGTTATTATATAAAATTAAAATATTGCAAATCTCAAAACAATACAAATATCCCAGTGTCCTTATGGAAATAAACATAAACCTCTATATAAAACTTATTTTACACCCACATACACACAAAAAATTATACAAGGACTCAATATGGTGCTAAAAAGACACTTCATGAAAAATACATTTCAAACCTCAACAAAGTAATAATGTCTCCCACGTTTAGCAAACATTCGGAACAAACAGCCCGGCCAGAAACACTTCAGACATTTTCGAATTTTCTGTTTTTTTTTATTATTGCTTGAAAATAAAACGAAAATAATGTTTTATTTTTCTTCCTTTGTGATAATGTTCACCAGATTTTGTTGTTGCTGTTGTTTGCAATCTAAACAAAAAATGTTTTTACATGAACAAAGCCATACCAACCATAAAAACATACGAGCAAACATATGGAGTTCTGTTGTTGTTGTCGTTCCGGAGTGTTTCCTAGAACAGCTTTCGGTTTATTTTATTGGCAAATGTGTCAGCATGCCTATGCACAGAGACAGAGAGAATTACATTGTACACATTTGGGGATAAGCCCTATTAAGCATAATTTACAATATGTGAATAATGGCAGGCAGTACATGGAAGAGGTCGGAAGGGGGAGAGGCGAATATTTTACTTTGTATGTGTCTAACAAATATTTTAGGTAATCTGAACAAATATATTGGGTTCATATGGTTTTGGGATATGATTGATGTATTAAAACAAATCAAAATCAGCTGATTAATATCAACAGCTGATCATGATGAATATTATCAGCTGATCGAGGTGAGTGTCAACAGCTGAAGCGGTGTACACGCTAGCACTTTTGAATGGCTCCATTGCCAAAATTTTGCTTTTTTGATGGTGTGGCCTTCTATTTTTGGGAAGGGGGAGAGGCGAATGAATGATGAATATTAACAGTTGATCAAGATAAATATCCCTAG